GAATCCAAGCAGATTGCCTAGTTTCAATGAGGAAATGTCCAGGAAGTCCTTTGCTGATCTTCAGGTTGCTGAAGATTTCTTGGCTGCTAAATTCACAAACATGGATATGAACAAAAGGAAGGTGTTAGTACAAAGCATAGCTACTGCTCTTAGATCCGGACTGGAGTGCGAACCCAACTCTGTGCTTTATGCTTTTGAAAATTCGCCTTGTGACATTATGACCTATGATATTGAAAAAAAAAACCAACGCGCAGCATAGTATCTGCTTTTTTCGGCTATTCCGCGATGCTGTTAAAGAAGAAGTTGAGCACTTTTCCATCAGTTAACAGGGCGTATGCCAGAGGAGGTAAAGCCAGAGTTCGACAAGGCCCAAAAAGTATGCAATATTTCCTTCCCGTGTTGCGAAAGCATATGCGATCTGGTTCTTTCTCCATTACTTACCGCAAAAATCTGATGGACTTACTAGCAAAGCTAATTTCCATTCCGACTAGCACGGCAGAGGTGGAGAAAGAAATTTTCTATCTACTCTGTTATCAGAACACAACGCAGAAGTCGTAGAACGATAGAGCATCTAAGCAAATACTTAAGATTTGTCAACCTTCTACTAAACACATTGTTATTTAAAAACTTCATTTAAAGGATTGGTATAAGTGATCCAGACAGGCTGTTACCGTATGACTTTTTGAAATATCCTAAAAGATGGTATGAAGAAACTGGTCACCTACCTGCTGACTTCCTGGTGCTACCAGAGGGCCAGGAAAAAAATAACAAAAGCGCTTAAAAGAACAAGAAAGTTTCAAATCCATTTTCGACTCAGAACGCTTTTGCACGCGATTCTACTTCTACTCCGATGACCCTTTGGAGGAAGAAGAAGATTTTTCAGGCAGCGAACTTGTTGTCTCTGACGTTAGCGATAGTGATATTGTTGATGATGATGTGCAGGAAATGAAGTTGTTCCTAACTTGTACATCTTTTGGGATAAACATTATTGCTTTCGTTTTTTGTTGATGCAGTGAAACAGGAGCACAGATCTTCATGATCATTTTTTTTAATTTTTTAATTTCTTTTGAAAACTTTAAAAAAAATTTTTTTTTTCATTTTGTGCCTAAATAAGGTACAAATTAGAGCTCTTCATACCACGCTTTTTTACCTTTTCTCTCTTTCTCCCCCCCCCCTAGACTCACATACCCCCTTCACCCTGGAAGGTCGGAAACAGCCGAGACCCCCTTCACCTGGGGAGAGCCCGGCTCCCCCTATCGCACCTATGGTGCAAGTGCTGACTGGATACTTCCAGAATATTTCGGGATCCACTACCAATTCCTTGAGCAGTAGAGGATTTCTCAAATTCGCGTGACAAACAAAAAAATTCTTGAAAATCCATACACTTTTTCAGATTTGTAAAGGGAAGTTGCAAGATCTGTTATGAGATGCGCTGCGAAAAGGGATCCGCCGCCGGGTAAAATTGTAGAATTTTGAAGCCAGTTTTTGTAAAATGATAGAATATATTCCCATCTTGGGAATTATGTCAAACTCACCAAAAAACCTGTGAATTACGCCAATTTTTTGAACTCTATTTTGTGGGACAGTACTTTTTCCGCACCCTGTAGGTACAACTTCCTCAGAAGACTCAAGCTCTCCCTTACGGAAACTTTTGACAGTATACCGCAATTTGTGTACTTGGAATGCGCGTCATCGCTTCAAGTTCCACCTATGTGGAAAGAAGTCTTGGTTACAGCCATATGTAAAGTCGATGGAGCACTTTTTCTTACCAATTTTCGCCCCATTAGTTTACTGCCTACCCCTGTCAAAATCACGGAGAGAGTTATACGAGGTAAAAATAAATTGGCACAATAACCCGGGTCTGTTAATCCCCAATCAATGAACAGCATGAATTTTTGAACGGTGCTTCTACCCACCACCAATCTGATTGCCAGTGTGTTCAACTGACGCTTGGCAGTCAATGAGGGCAAATTTGTTGACAGTATTTATGTTAACCTTACTAAGGCATCTGATAAGGTTTGCCAATACAAATTACTGACTAAGATATGCAAAGTCGAGGTTGGAGGGTAATCTGATTTCCTGGTTGGTGTCTTACTTGAGTGATCGACATATGAATCGACACATGTAAGAATTGGACATCATTACTCCGAAAAGTACTGCTGCACTAGTGGTCTCGCTCAGGGGGCGGGAGTGTTCAATCCCCCTTGCTCCTCCTGATTTATAATCTCAACTTACCTTCTGTTTTGAAAACTTTGCCTAGCATACAAGTAAAAATATATGCTGATGATATAAAAAAATTTATGGAGCATATGATAAACAGAAAGCCCCAGAAGTTCAGCTAGCATTGCAAACTTCTCTTGATAAATTATGTAAATGGTGATAGCTGGGATCTAGCGTTGAACCGTGATGCTCAATCATCTTGGAAGTCTACTGGAGGTATAATAACCATAACCCCGCCCAGCATTCCAGCTAGGCGGGGTTAAGTTTATTATACCTCCAGTAGATCCGCCTTATAAGCTGCCAGTTGGCTTTTAAAAGTAACGTGAAGATCGTTCCGCTGGCAATGAGGAGGCATGGGTCCTATACCCATGGAATTATAAGTTTTGGAATCTTAAGTATCACTGCCTACAATTGTCATAGCTGTTGACCTATCAACATATTCAATTCAAACCGATTTCCGAAGAATAATAAGTATATCTCCATGGTTTGAAGTTCTTAAAGCCACTTGTAATCTTATATATAAAGCTGAATGTCTGTTTGTCTGTCTGTCTGTCTGTATGTCTGTCTGTCTGTATGTGTGTACGTATCTTCCGAATAGAAAATTCCATTTCTGAACCGATCCGGACCAAACTTGGCACACATACACTTCGGGCTCCGGCGGGTGTCATAGGCTACTTTTCGTCATCGATCGATATCGATTTTATCGATTTTTTTGCAGAGTTCACCTACGGGGCTGGGAGTTGGCACAGGGGGGTAATCGAGCATGGGGATTCCGAATACAATATTAGTTTTCAGAATTATCGATTACTTTTATCGATTTTATCGATTTTTCTGTAAAGTTTGACCTGCGGGGCTGGAAGTTTGCACAGGGGGTAATCGAGCATGGGGATTCCGAATACAATATTAGTTTTCAGAATTATCGATTACTTTTATCGATTTTATCGATTTTTCTGTAAAGTTTGACCTGCGGGGCTGGAAGTTTGCACAGGGGGTAATCGAGCACGCTGATTATGAATACAATATTAGTTTTCAGGATTATCGATTACTTTTATCGATTTTTATCGATTTTTTTGCAGAGTTCACCTACGGGGCTGGGAGTTGGCACAGGGGGTAATCGAGCATGGGAATTCCGAATACAATATTAGTTTTCAAGATCGTCCACTATTTTTATCGATTTTATCGATTTTTTGCAAAGTTTGAGCGGCGGGGCTGGGAGTTGGCACGGGGGGGGGGGTAATCGAGCATGCTGATTACTAAAACAGCGGGAATATTGATTTGGCATGTAGGCGTGGGCACAGAGAAAGGTTTGTACAGGTATAGGGATAGTGTTCTTTGACATATTGTTTTGACCGGGCCGGGCGGAGCCGGGTAAGCCAGTAGTTTTGTATAAGTACGAGGCTTTAAATTCATTTCTTGGGAAGCACTAGCATTTGCATGTATTTTTTTTGGTTTTCTTTGGTTCTGTAGCTGCGGCAGATGGCATGGGAGTTAAATGTACAGAAGGCAATGATGGATTCCATCCTTGCTAGCTCAATGATTGTGAAGATTCAGAATGTGTATTTGTGTCGAAAATTTTTCTCACTTTCTGCACTCATCCACCCGCTATGAAAGTTCATTGATTGTTGCATATCAAATTTTCAAATAATATTCTGCCCTTGTCACTGTGTTTACCTTATGCGTGCTAATACTACCCGTGTGCTTCGAGCAAACTTATTTTTCCGATTTCAATATGTGATTAACAACTTAGTGCTCGTAGGATTGGGTTTTCAATTCCAGTTCGACAATGGTTTTGGTTCGTGAATTTTGAGAAACATCGCTTGTGAACGTTCTGTGACTTTTGGGATCAGACTTTATTTTTGCTCATGTTCTTTCAACCTTCAATTGACATCAGTATTTTGACATTGATTTTCTCCTCAAATTTTTACTTTACAGATCAACCAGCTATGCTTCGTGCAGCCGTATCCCAAAGCGCTGCTCAGATTCGATCGTCTAGAGGGAATTAGAGACGTAAAAGTACACTCAAGTAAGCGATCTATTTATTTAGTTCAACCTTTACCATTTTAAAGTTGTTCTAGCTGTTCATCAATAACGAATGGGTAGATGCGACCAGCAAGAAAACCTTTGAGAGCGTTAACCCGGCTGACAAAAGCGTGATAGCAAAAGTCGCAGAAGGTGATAAGCCTGACGTCGATAAGGCGGTAAAGGTGAGTTTCCGGACGGTTACTGATATTTGGAAGACATGTGGGTATTCAATCACTAAAAATCACTGCACCATCGAAAATAATGAAGTATCACTAAATCAGCATAATGACTATATATGTTCAATCACAAGCTTACTACGAGATAGCGTGATTGTGGAAATTGTAAAAAACAATGACATAATAAACAAGCCAAGAAATAGCAAGCGGAATATAGAAAAAATCAAGAGACAGAGAATAAGGAGGAGGAAAAATTGTACGTTAGAATGCTATTGTTTCTCAAAACAATGTAAATTTCTGTGTAGATTTATGTCGTTCACTGTTTTCTTCTCACATTTTCGCCTAGGAGAAAATAGTTTTGCATACAGGCGATGTTTTGATAACATGAGCGACGGAGATGAATTATGAAGTAAACAATTTCACGGCTACCAATTCATTCATTTTGTCAAAAGAACTGCAGATTCATTCTGAAAATTCATGTCAAAATTCATTTCAAAAAAGCAAATGCATTTTATTTGCTCAATTTTCCTATACGCACTCACGGAACTCTGTCACTAATCTTGGCTTTAGGGGGTATTCAGCATGGAACACTCCTACTCGCGATTCTCGCCTTTAGCGCATATATTCCAGGTTGCTTCCAATGCATTCCGACTTGGGTCCCCATGGCGTCGTGTGAACGCAGCACACCGTGGCGTTTTACTCCAAAAACTCGCTGATCTCATGGAAAGAGATCGTGTTTATTTGGCTGTAAGTTTTTATTTCCCGAATTCCATGTAAAATGGTATTATTTCGTCGCTAGAAGCACTCGACAATGGAAAACCATACTCAGTCGCATATGGCGGCGATCTTCCACTGGCTATCGCTTGCTTAAGGTACAGTAATGTCAGTTATTTGAATAGAAAGATGTAAGAATATTTTAGATATTACGCTGGTTGGGCTGACAAAAATCACGGCAAGACTATTCCGATTGCAGGTGATTACTTTACCTACGCAAGGCACGAGCCGGTAGGAGTATGTGGACAGATCATTCCGGTAAGCTTAGAATCTCACTTGCAGTAAATTGGAGGGGCCATAGGACTAGTTCCAAATTTATGCCAAATTTTAGTGGAATTTCCCTATTCTTATGCAAGCTTGGAAAATTGGACCTGCACTTGCGATGGGTAACGCGGTGGTGATGAAACCTGCCGAACAGACTCCGCTGACTGCTCTTCATGTCGCCAGCCTCATCAAGGAGGCGAGTCTTCTCTCTTCTCACCCCTTCTTCATTTTCATCAATGTTTTCATCCCCATGTTCCAGCAGGCTTCCCAGCTGGAGTAGTGAACCTCATTCCTGGATTTGGACCCACCGCTGGCCATGCCATCTCTAGCCATACGGAAGTGGATAAAGTTGCTTTCACTGGTTCCACCAGCGTTGGACGACTTGTGATGACTGCAGCTGCTCAAAGCAATATAAAGAAAGTGTCACTGGAACTGGGTGAAAAGAGTCCGAACATCATATTCTCCGATGCTGATTGTGAGTTTTTAATCAAATTTAGAAAACTGCCTTATAGTATTATAGAAAGAGCAGTGGCACTTAGAGCCGCGTAGAAGGTCGGAGAGTGGAAAATGTTGTTGATACAAATGTTAGATTCAAGTAAAGTGCTTTATCATTCTATGATGAATGCAAAATCAGCTTTGTAATAGCTTTTTGGGGTCTCGTCAGAAGCATTTCAGATAATGTGACTGCCTCAGAAATTCTCTTTCCCTCTCAGCAGGTTCGCTCACAAATTTCTACAAAATATTAGATAAGGTAAGCAAAACTTTCCAAAACTGTAGTGACTTGGACTTTCAATACCCCCTCCCTCCTCCTTCATCAATTTTGGTAACATCTAATATTGATAATTTATTTTTTGCGGTGGATTACGCCGTACAACAAGCTCACCATGGACTCTTCTTTGATCAAGGACAATGTTGCTGCGCTGGATCACGGGTATTCGTCGAAGGAAAGGTACGTTGCTTATTTGAAGTGAAGAGCCAGATAAGTGAGTTGGATTATCCAGGTTTACGACGAGTTTGTCAAACAAGATTTATGTCAAATATTTCGGAATATCTCATTGCTTGGTCAGGTGGATGAAGATCAGCTGAAGACTATCGAACGTTATGTGAGTATTGGAAAGAAAGAAGGGGGTCAATTGGTTACAGGTACGGCTCTTTGTTTTGTTAATATGATACTCTTTTTCTAACTACTTTGCTGTGAAATTCTGTAGCATTTTTATTATAGGCGGCAAAAAGTGGGGCGGCAAAGGGTATTTCTACGAGCCAACGATATTTGCCAATGTAAAAGACCAAATGAAGATCGCACAAGAAGAAGTGAGTATGGTGCGCAGGTACCAAAAAAATTGATTTTAGGAAAACACGCAATAAGAAAAATGACAGATTCCAAAAATTTTTTCCTTACATAAAGTCTTGAGTGATAGTTTCCTTTATCGGAAATGTTTTGTTTTGCTACCCATCGCAGACAAAATTCCTATTATACTGGTGTCAAAGAAAATACTTCTCTTATTTATTGCTTTATAGGAATACTATGTATAGTGATCATATTAAGTCGTATTGCTCACAATTCTGCCAAATAGCTGAATAGTATACATAGTAAAGGAGGAGATATGCAATCTCAAAAGACTGAATTTATCAATTAAATCTTATTTATCCGAAAGAACTGTGAAAACAAAATCTGTTGTAATCACCTTTCAAGATGAAATTTCGAAAGCTGATCTCACTGTACCTCTTTTTTCCAAATATTTGGCCCTGTCATGAGTGTTATAAGATTCGATAAGATGGAAGATCTTGTCGAAACCGCCAACAATATCATCTATGGTTTGGCTGCTGCTGTAGTAACCAAGGACCTAGACAAAGCACTTCATGTAGCTAATAATATTCGAGCAGAAACCGTCTGGTAAGCGAAACTCTTTCTGCTCTGTTATTTCCGATTATCAGTGAAGCTCTTCAATTTAGGGTAGATTGCTTCGATGTGTTTGACTCTGCTGCACCTTTTGGTGGCTATAAGCAATCCGGTACTTTTTTTACTTCGATAACGTGGAAATGGTATAAGTGGTATAATTTAAGGTCTTGATCGTGAGCTTGGCGAATATGGTCTACATGCATATACGGAAGTAAAGACGGTCACGATCAAAGTGCCTCAGAAAAACTCATAGGAACAATTACGTAGTTTGTATTCTCGTGATGAAGACGGATTCTATTTATGAAGATCTTATTTGCTATATCTCACTTTGTAAATACTTTACCTCGAAGATGTGTCATAAAGAATTTATCTAAAAGTTGTATTGATCATAATATGGAGGATAAATATATTTTGATAACAGAGTCTTTTGTTGCCGAACAGATCAGTAGATCTAGGGATCCTTTGAGTGTGAAAAACTGAGGAAAGGTAATTTGACAAGATGGCAAACGGAAACGATTTTCAAACTTTTATGTAAAAAAAAAACTTGCAAACTTGCAATTTGCAACATTAAAAGTCACTGAATAAAAAAAATTTAGAACGGATGTTCTGCCAGTTAAGGCAAAACTAGTGAATTTTTATTACTTTTGTGCCTACTGAGTGCCGCACAAAATTTGCGCTAGGGAATTTCTGGCCAATTTGGTGAAGCAACCTCATAGAAGTGGAAAATATTTTTTTTGCATGCATCATTCCTTGGCTAGGCAGAGTGATCCATGGTAATCCGGTTTATGTACTGACAATAGAGTTTCGTTTGAAATTGCTATCGTGGCTAATTCCAGTAAAACAAAATACCGTTTCTTAAATGCGATGACTTTGTGAATGAAAGCTCAGTGTCAAGTAATCATAAATTGTTGACCGTAATCAGTTTAAAGCTTACCTAACTTTCTCTTCCATATGTTAACGGAGCAGATCGTTCACAGGCTTTTCTCTTGTGTTTAACACATGAAGCTTGGTATGGGAAAGAGCGCAATTCATAATCTGTAGCTTGCAAATGTGCAAAAAAATTTGACAACAAAGATCCTAACATTCTATAATCCTCTAGAGCTGATTATAATCCGCTTTGAGTTGCTTTCGGGTGCAAAAACCAAGTTGAGGCAGTTGTTGCTGTAAACAAGCCTTTTCTGAACCCACTTACCTTCCCTTAACTAAGCTCTGGGATCCGTCTAAAACTTCTGGATCATAAGTGGTAAACATGACTTCTGCTGCTACTTTGCTGACTCCTGTACTTTATTATTTCGTTCTGGAAATAATATTGAGAGTGAATGCTGTTGTTTGTCCCAAATGTCCGGCTGTGTACGTCGGAGCTTGCAATGGTTTGAAGGATCGTCTTACTTGCTACACTCAAGTGCAAGCCCAAGTAAAGCGAACAGAAACTTCCGAATCTTGCACGTGAGTTCTTCAAATTTTCGTTTTGGGGTCCTCAATACCGCTGTTACAGTCTTACCTACAAATGCCTGGAACCACTGGTTGCTTATGGTTGGCCTAGAGCAGCTGGCTCACCGGTGCAGGCAATCGCTGGCGGTAAGCTTATCTGCACAGCAGCGCAGCTCTTCTGGAAAACTCCTGGTCTTCTTGGCATCAAAACCATGACATGCATGTCACGACCACAAACCAGTGAGCGAAGATGTTTACAAAATGTCATAGGGCAGAATTATTCTGAAAAAACACACTTATGTCATCTGCGTACTCCCTTGCGCGTAAGGTATCCGCAGTGCGGATGCGTTGCGTGTGCACATTCAATCGATAAGGCCGATTTGGCGGCGCAAGCCATATACGCGCGAACGTGAGGCGATGAGGTTGCTGCGTCGCCTAAAAGGGAATACGCGTTCGACACAGGCTATTATTATATCTGACATCAAAAAATTTATTATTTCATGGTGCGGAGGGTGCATCGATGTATACAAAGTGGAATCGCCTTGCCGACATAACAAATGTGCTTCAAGAAAAGAAGTCAATCTTCATATAATTCGAAAAACAGTTGTTCCTTACTATTGCAGGTAAGTATGTTGGGCTGGAAAGATTTTGATGGTATCGTTATAACCCGTAGGGGCAAATGTTCATAAAGCCAAATGATCTTTACGATAACATTCGATTTTTGAAAAACTTTTACTTATATCTGGCAAAAGTGTCGACGAGGGACTAACAGTAAGTGGAGAAAAATATGAATCAATAATAAATGTGTAAGATTTTAATGCATATGGGCCTTGATGCACGGGCGCAGACTCAGCTTCGATACGCATAAGCAGTATTTTCTGCTTCTTATATTAGAAAAAAGAGCCTGTGACTAATGATTATGTCTTTAGCTCACTTTAACACCTCCTATAAATTTTGTTCAATTTTCTAACTTGAAATATTAGGTTGGCTCGAAAGAACCTTATAGAATACAGCACTGCTTTTTTCTCTTTTTTTCTAGCTCGCCCCTAATTTTTTAAAAGATTTTTTTAACAAAACCATCGAATTTTGGCAGGCCTACGTCAGCCACAATCGCATGAAACAACGGTAATTATTCGAAATTTGAAACTTCCAAGATGGTATATGACTTAATATTGATTTTACAATGCAAGTGAGAGCTTACGGATTCGAAATAACAAAATTCGAGTTTTTCGGGTACAGCCTGGGGCTCGCAAATGAGTTATGATAATTTCTTCCCGGTAACTAAACGAATCGGAAACAAAGAAATACCTATTAGAAAGAGGAGTAAATGCTGCATCGAACAGTGCGCGAGCTGCTCCTTTTTTGATGTTCTACAAGGATTTAGCTGCCCAAGTATGGAAATTGGTAACATCTGTTAAAATTCTGTTAAAAATGTATGACAAGCTATGGAAAAAAGAAAAAACTAGTACTGTATTCTATAAGGTTTACTCTATCGAAATATTACTTGAATTCTTTCTGAGGATCGATATGAAAGTTTCAAAAAATTGTGAAACTTGACCATCTCAAAAAGCATGGGTCGCAGATTTTGGATAATTTTTGAAAGCTCATTGATTGTTTTGCAACAATTTCATTCAACCTTTAGAAAGACAATGAAATTCTGGATCGAATGCTTCCAAGATCTCTTAAAAACCTTTGTTCCGTCAAATCTGGTGCCCGTTTGAAAAAAGCGAAATTACTTTTGAAACGAACCTAATACATCAGATAAAGGTATTATTCGATAGAGCAAAGCAAGCTCTACAAGATGGTAGGCAAAAGTTCGCACCAGCTTCAATCCACCGTAAGTTTGCACCCAAAATCTGAGTCGTACTGAAATTCAAAAAAAAATGCGAAAAATTCATATCTTTGTTCAAACAAATACTACGGATCCCCAACTTGCTCACAAAAATTGCACACCACCTCAGACACTCATATGCACCGTTCCTATAATTTTTCCTTATCTGGAAATCGAGAAAACGAAAATTTTCGTGGTTTTACAAGAATGAAGCTGTGCTGTTTCCACCCACGTAATTGAGTAGTACAAGCCCTTAGAAGTATAACCGTAAATTTTCAGCTTTCCGTAAGCCCTAGTTATCGAAGAATATTGATTTTAGCGTGGAACACCCGAGTGAGGAGAGCTCAACTCGGTATTTTTCGGAAACTAGGGCCTGTGGAAATATGAAAATTTACGGTTGTACTTCTAAGGGCTTATACTATACAATCACATGAGTGGGAACAGCACAGCCTCGTTTTTATATAAGCATGGAAATTTTCGTTTTCTCGATTTCCAGATGAGGAAAAATTATAGGAACGGTGCATATGAGTGTCTGAGGTGGTGTGCAATTTTTGTGAGCAAGTTGGGGATCCGTAGTATTTGTTTGAACAAAGATATGAATTTTACGCGATTTTTTGAAATTCAGTGCGACTCAGATTTTGGGTGCAAACTTACGGTGGATTGAAGCTGGTGCGAAGTTTTGCATACCATCTTGTATGGCTTGCTTTGCTCTATCGAATGATATCTCTACCTGATGTATATGCGTTAGGTTTCGAGAAATAGCAGATCTAGTTCGAAAATGTCCCAGAACTTTCGAGCCAACCTAATAGTTTCGAGTATCTTCTAGATCCTGCGTTTAGCATAGCGAGTTAGTATCCCAATTTTATTTGGGGTCGACTTTTTTCAACCCTGTAGTCTCAGCCAAAAGCAAAACCAGTGTATGTTTGCATAGGACAGAATTTCTCGGAAATAAATTAAGACAGAAGTCTTATTCTTTATGTTTAGATATTTGCAATTTTGAGCAAAACAAAGGTAATTTCAAGTATACAGCCTCGATATACTATAAGTATGCGCTTTTGCATGAATCAGTACTTCCTCGCGAGAAAAATCTTTTCGAGATAGGCCCGTAGGGTATTATATTACTGATGGCAGTATCCATAGTGGAAAAGTGCTAAGAGAGCCATCCTATCTTGCATGCTGAAGTAATATGAGAAATTGTAAAGAGCCTTCAAGTCTTTGCCACGCGGATATATCAAACGGCAAAAATTTTTTTGTATAGATTGTCACATCGTAAAGACCGAATTTCGAACTGAGAATTTGTCTGGAAAAAATCGGGTGAAGCACATGCAAACAATTCCGATATTTCCAGGATGGATCTCATCTGCCCATCCGGTACAATACAACACGGTTTTACACAAAGGATTTCGACAAGCCATTCGAACTCATGCCTAGCAATGTAACCCTCATGTGTGTAGACAACGGCGTGGGAGGATATTACTACTGGACTGCTAGAAATTTCATCGCATTTCAAGCAATTTCATCGCAGTATACGTCTCATGCCTTTCTCCAAACTAAGAAGCTATATGCGAATATTGTGTGGTTAACTTGTACACATTTTGGCATACATAAATCTGGTATATTACATTCGTCTTGTAATCAGTTAGAGAATCCCTTTTTTTAGGCGATTACAAGTTTTCTATTGTTGGTTTGTATTAGCCTTTGCTTCAGCCAGATCGGCGGCTGGAAGGTGGGGCTCCGTGACCTAATTAAGGCTAGAAAAAGAGACATGTTTGCGAGGGAGGCGCAGACTGCGTCGCGGACACGCGTGTGTCCACTGAGTCATGAAGCCCCGCTTCCAGCCGCCGATCTGGTTGAAACAAAAGGTATGTGTTTTATATACCATATCTAAGGGACGAATGAGATGATTGTCAAGTATTCGCCGGAAGTCTGATTTGCTGTCAATTATATGCTAAGTTTTTTTTGGGATCCCAACTTCCAAGTTCCAAGTAGGGAGCTCGAGCTTGGCACACAGGAGTGAGCGAATATAAAAGAAAAAACAGTAGAAACATTGAACTTATTCTCTTCTGACTTCGTCGAGCCATTGAGTTTTCTAAAACTTTTCTCTTACTCACGCTTTCGCATTCGCATGCGTTTAGCTCATCTGAGCATATCCTGGCTAGACCCCGGGGACAGTTCCTACTCTATTAAAAATTATCCTTTGAATAAAAGTAGGTCACTCTAAGAGTCTACATATTGAACCAGTCAAGGAACAGAATGGCGTTTATCCATTATCGTTACTGCATTCCCCCCTCCACGACTGGCGCAGAAATAGGTCGATATGACTACAGCTCGAGAATTATAGTATGCACCCACAAAGTGTTTACCGTCTATGGAACCTGTAGATATGCATCTTCCATTTTGAGTTCTCGTTTAAATGAAGTGATTAGCATCTTCAGGACTTGATCTGCTATCAGTTCTAAATATGGGACTGACATGGGCTACAATCTTCCACCAACTCTCACTGCAAGCGTTGCAATTAGTGGCTCCTCCGAGGCATAAGCAAGATCATGTAAAAAGCATTTTATTACAGAAAAGACTGAGACACCAAACTCTTTTTATCCGCAGATAAAAAGTTTCAGTCATTATCTGATTAGGATTTACCATACCGGGGCAATTGTGGTGCCTGAAAATCCAGAAAACCAAACAATTTTTTTTACGTGAGTTTATGAGACTTCTCAAAAACACTTGCCTTCGAAGATCGGTGTGAATTCCCCTTCCTCTGTTCCGTGTGGCTGCGCACTTGTGGACGCCATTGTGGTATCCTCTTTAGCAGCTGTAGTGGTCTCTTCTTTTGTCTTCTCTGGAATTTCAGTTCATTTTCATTCTTTTCACATCGATGTATTATGACCTTTTTCTGCCGTAGTTGTGGTCCGCTCATCATCTGGTAGTGGTGTGGTCGGGTGGGTTTCAGTCTCTGAAAAACTCCATGATGTCGTAAATCTCAGTAGTGCAACAGTGTGCAACTTCCCACAACCTTCACTGACAATCTTTATGGGGTAATCCTCGTTTTCTACTGGTGTGATGATTTCATATACGGTAGGATCTAGAAAATATTTTGCCATTAGTAGATCTCGCAAGTTTGAGAAGAAAGTGTAAATCACTCAATGGTAAGTTTGTCTCAAGGGTTCTGCGTGGAGGATACGGGCGTTTAACCCATTCTGGTATCAGTATGGATCCTATCGGTACTATTATTCTTCTAGATTCGAGCACTATTTCGAGCTCAGGAAATATAAAAGATTGGGATCCATGACGTCTGTAAGGCTCCTCTTGCTCATGCGGCCCAAAGAATTCAGGAGAATGAGGTCCATCTTGTTCGTAGTGCTCTCTTGGCCCATACAGACTAGGAAATATGAGAGAAAGGGGTCCATAATCTTGGTGATACTTCGGGATGAGTCCGAAGTACTCGCCTGCACTCAGGACTGCTGAATACAACAATCACCTCAGATATAAGAGTACAAGATTTTTTACCTATTGCAGCAAACAGAAGGAAGAAATGAAGCATTGTTTCTGGCTAAGAGTCGCACTCAACTTTTTATATGCATATCGCTACCTTCTTCATAACTATTTCTTAGTACTATCTATCGATCCTTTTATGCGTTTATATTATTTCATGTACTAGTGCTTAGGCGTGAGAGTGATAGTCATGGACTTATCTTCTGTGTTAGACTGCTGTTGATGAAACCTTTTACGATCTTGCCAATGCAAAAACGTGTGTAGATACATACGACATCATCCCGGATTATGTAAATTCAAGAAGGCGCCTTCGTCTTCGTATTATCATATCGTTGACAATCGTTGCTTCAGAAAACGTAGTATTATTTAAAAACTGTGATTATGGAGTGCAATAAACAAACAGACTTGAAAATCTTACCTCGATATGTACATGGGAAAGAGGACAAGAGCAGTTCTCAGACAAAAAGAATGAGGGGCAAATTAACATTCTCAATTAACGTTTAAGGCGAAGATGGGCTTTCGTATATTCTATTCCGAGGAGTTGAACTATACCGATCAAAGGAACGAACGCTTTGCAAAAATAAATCAACTAGACAACTATCGCTTGCCATCGATTTACCGAATCCACACAATTCGTTTGGGAGGCGAACCTGATGCATACGAAAATGGCATCAAATTACAAAGTGAAAACTGTTGCGCAAACTGTGAATTGCTTTCATTGACTTTCGTCTACTGCTTTAGACAGACCGGAAGTCTGGTCAAATTTCAGGATTAGAATTTAGAGTAGAGGACGTCCCGACGGGTCCCGCGGCATTTGATATAGTAGCGTCCGATGCGGATAACTGGGATGAGTTTACAGGTAACCGCAAGGGTAAAACCTATCGGACGATATATTGGCCTATACCCGATTACAGATGGACGTTGTTGTTGATCAAGATGTTGGGTAGTTCAAGGTGTTACAGCCGTCGGTCACAAAGCAACCTGTAGCTTTTACCTGGGCAATCAAAAGATCAGAGAGAGCTTTTTGGCTGTTGTTCCATTCAGTGTACTCTCTTGATCTTCGCTATGGTATTTTGTGCTCTCATCGATGCAAGTTATCAGTGTGCTCTTATTTTTACCGTCGTTGCTGCTGCACACCTATACCTTTTGCTTTTCAAACTATTGTGGTTCTGCTGCTTTCTCGGTCAGAGGATATTTTACTATTATAATGGAGAACGACAGCACAGTTCGGCAAGGCGTTTATTTGCTCCTGCATAAGTTGAGATGATGGGAACATCCATTTTGCATTCGTCTTGACAAGGTTGTAAAATGGAGCAATAACAGCGTTATAATGACCGAGCTCAAGCACCAACATGACTTGTATATATCATAAAATAGCATAGACACATAATAGACGCTCAATACTGTAACTACACCAGGGGATTAATCATGGGAGCTTTCGCCGACATGCACATATAAGGAGGTTGGGAGGAGCTCCAGACAACAAGCGATGCAACCGCACACCCTATTCCTATTGGCTGCTGTAACAGGTGAATTTTTTAAAAGTTTTTTTCCTTCGGAATACTTTTGTGTTTTCATAGCTCAAATTTTTTTTTAATATTTAGCGGCTGTGAGCGCAAACTATGCTCTCAAACTCCAACGCCCGAGACATCACAGACATCATGATCCCAATTCTCCCATGTTTCCTGAACCACATGGACCAAGGCATCACAAACATCACGGACCTGATCCTTCAGTATTTCCTAAACCGCATGGACCGGAACATCATCGTCATTTCGGACTTCCCCCATTTGGCCCTCGTGGTCCCCATCATCCGGAGAGGCCTGGTCCTTGGCAGCCGGTTCCAGGACCTTTGAGACCATTACCCGAATGGGGTAAACGACCGCATCTGCCGCGTGAGACCGTTTGGACGGAATCACCAGGGGGTAAATTTATAAATTTTCAGTAATTCTCCAATAATGTCTATACACCGTCGAAATTACAAGAAACTGTGGTAAATTTCAGACATCACAACATTTTCGATAACACCACCAAAAGATGAGGAAGACGAAGGGACAACGGAGATCGTTGAAGAAGGTTTTGAAAAGTTGTACATACTTTTGATAAATATAAAAACGCTTCATTTCAGTTACTACAGACTATTCAAGCACACCTTTGCCAGATGAGGAGTCGACCACAACGGCAGGCGAAGGTGATAACACTACAATGACCGAAGAAGGTGATGACGTGCCAGTCGCAGAAGCAAAGAAAATAATGAAAAATTCTAGGTGATGAAATCGCCATAACCACCACAGCAGGACAAGAGGAGGTATTTGAATGCGAATATAATATTTTTAAGAGATCAATTTAAGGCTACGAATTCGGAAACAGAGCAAGACGAAAACACAGTGATGAACTAAGAAGGCAACGCTGGGAAGAAGTGATCAGCATTGAGTCTAGATGTTTCAGATTATGCTGCATTTTCAGGCATTTCATTCGTATTGGAGGAGTACAGGGAACTAAATTGTGATAGAAATTCGTTTTGGTTTCCCAGTTTGCTCCTGTTCCTCCTCCGTTGTGGTAAAGTGCTTACTTGAGGCTATTGTGTACACATTCAAAAGAGTCAGTAGGCAGCAAAATGTATTTGGAATCCTAAGTTAGAAGGATACACTGATTGAAGCTGTTCAAAGGATTCTGCAGGTGGACACATGGAGTGTCGTAAACGTAAACTGTAAACTATTCCATCTAATATTTCTCTTCTCAGCGGACCTTCAGTTATATTTTGTAAGAAATTCAGCATAATTCATCACTCGGCATAGTATAAGTTTTATTATTCTTCGCAACTGTAGGATGACCGCAATAAGACATTCAGGTCATTGTTATGATCAATGCTGCCATTACAGAAACACAGTAAAATTCATGGACTCAAACACGCATTTTTGAAAATAAGGGACCCGTCATACTTCGCCGAAAAAAGCCAGAAAGTGCCCAAAAATTCCAAATTAGCCAGAAAGAGCAGGAACGTCCTCGCAAGTTTTGGAGTACAAGAAGAGACAAGAATACAATAAGAAGAATGATAAAGTGAAAGGACCGGCTTGCGAACACAACACACATACCCTAATGCCAAAATTTGCGAGGAGGCGTTCCGGCTCTTCCTGGCGCTTTTGGATTTTTTGGGCTTTTTCGGGCTTTTTTCGGCGAAGTAGGGTCCCTAAACTTTATGCGGTTGTAAGCTTAATGGAGCGGCATATGTCTTGAATCACTGAGACAGACAGCGGTAAAGTACACCTACTATAACTTTTGCAAACTGGTATGGAAAGTGTTTTATGTCAGCTACTTCAAGAGCCTTCATATCCCTGAAGTTTTTTGGAGCAATATTTAGCCGCTAATTGCTCAACAGTCAAAGTTCCTTTCGTAATCCTAAGTAGCAAAGAGCGATAATTGTTTATACCGTAAATTAAGAAGTCAAGCTGTACAAAATGGTGCCGTTTAGGTAAGAGAGGCTCAACGATTGACAAACGACTGTTTAAGCAGTGTATAGATGTCCTTAAGATACAGTATAAAACTAATTATATCTTAATAAATGCTAGATATGCCCCGATGAGAGAAAAAATCAATTATAGCTTCAGAAAGCATAGAGAATAAAAGTATTGATATTCAGCGAAAGCAATACATTTGCTGAGGAAAAGCATTACGTATTGTTATACAGTTTAAACTCATAAAAATGGATAAATTCTCGAGCAAATTTGCGATTTTGCCTAAAATTGGAGACCCTGCGTCTTTTTGCCATAGCTTCTTTTGGTGTTCATGGAGATCAAAATAGATTTTACACAGTTCGTTGAGAAGGATCTTTTGGTATGTCATGCTTCTGTAGCCTATTAAATCGAAGCATGTAGAAAGTGATTATTCTCTGTGTTGGCACTTTGTAGATATGTGACTGAGTCTCTTCGGACTGCTTAAAAGATACGAGTTTTACTCTTGCGGGTCCAATGTCGTAAAGTAAGAAAATAAAAAAGTCCTGAAAATAGGGTATCAATCGAAGCCCTTCGATTGATATACTCTGCGTGCTTGATAATCAGCTCATAACTCAACTTCTGGCATTTATATTCTGCTCTTCCATATCTGAAGACAGTAGAGCCAATATCGCTTGCGTGCGCAAATGCGTATCATTGAGTCTAAAGGTGAGGTATAACTCCAAGCAGGACCCGGCGCGTGTTGGTTTAAAGCATTTTTGGAAACGAAGTCATGACTTCGCGAAAATTTACGAAGCCCCTTCTAGCGTAAAAATCAGTAGGGTAACATTTATTAAATCAACATAACAACAAAAAAGCGAAAAAAGCATTTTGAGGTACCTAATATAAAAAAGCAAATTAAAAACATTCTGAGTTGATCAAAGACTCTGTCATTGAGTTTGGTACCATTTTATGTAGCGTTCAAAATGTCCAAAACCTCCCACTCTAACCAAATCTGCGCTCTCAACAATCTGACGATGCATTTTTTGCCGCGTAGTGCAAAGGACGCCGCTGTGATTGGGGCGCGATATCTATCAATACTCAGGCTTACACAATTTTTGGCTCAAAAATGAGGAGAGGCAATGGTTTGACTCGCTCTCTTCACTATATGATAGATCTTTAAGCGTTCTAATCGTCTAGGTCAAAAAGGTTCAAAACTTATGTGAACTCTCCGATATTTATGCTCCGAGCCAATCCAGTTGGTTTGGTGTTGGTCTAGAAACCAACAAGTTCGGGAACGGGTAATACATAAGTTTTTCAAACTTTTTGCATAATATAGTTTGGAGTAATATTGTGTAAACATAGCCAAAATTCGTTGTCGTGTGATTGTTTGTGCGCTGTAAACAAACCATTTGTTTGTTTGAGTCTTGCGTTTGAAATTTGCGCGCTTGCGAAAGAACACGTTCAACTCGTAAAACCTAACATGTTTGTCGTCCTTTTTCTGCGCTCTGTCCAGGACCTTACGAAAACGATATCGCCGCTGTTTCCGACCTCAGAAACGAAGTCCAGTTTGACCCCGGACCATCTGGATCGGTCCTGGCTCCAAATCTAAAAATATGGTTCTTCAAATTAAAAAAAACGAATCTGAAACAAAAAACATCCATTGAATAGCGGAGAAAATGCTGCGTCGAATGACACTCAATTTGCTTGCCGATTAATGCTCTACGAGGTTTGAGTTGATTAAGAATGGAATTTGATAGCACCAGATAAAATCCTATTGAAAATTATGGCGGGCTATAGAAAGGAGAAAAGTTGTACTGCTTACTGCAGGGTTTGCTCTATCCATCCGTTACCTAGCAGGGAATGGTCAGAACTTAACCCAACCATACCAAACATGCTGTATATCGTAGGACTCGCCTTGAAACGCTGATCATCAATATATGTTTATTATCTGCCAAGCGACTATCTGGGAGGAGTTAGTTATGAGTGTTTAAATGCGCGATTTGTCAAGTGTTCTATCTCGCATGTTCCACGAAAAAGGTCTCAAAAACTCATATTTAGCTTTCTGGTAAATGTGCTTCTTCTCTGCAATCAAAACAGCTATAGCCACTGTAAATCCGCGCCATCAGTCTGCCTTTTAAGCAAATATACAGAGTGTCCCAAAAAAATGTGAATACTGTTTGATCGTTGATAACTCCCTTGCTTTTATGTCTTCCGCCGAGCTTCAGGCCCATTCTATAGAGCGAGGCCTAACTTAGATCTGCAGTATGGAGCGAATCGTCGATCTCTTTTCATTACTGTAGGATTACGGTAGGAACTTTGACAGGGATTTTAAGCCGTTGAAAGCCATATTCTGCCTCGGAACAAAACCAAACAGGCCAAAAACTTTTATACATGGGTAATGGAAGCCGCTGAGTTCGAACATGAAATTTCCACTTCACTGTGACGCTTCTTTTAAAGGTTATTCCAGGTAAACCTTAATAACCGAATTTCCAGCATTTGTCAAAAATGTGATTACACCGTCAAAAAGCTAAAAACACTCGTAAAAAGGAGCGTTATGGAATCAGCGTGCGCTGAACCCTTAGTACACGATTTTTCAGGTTTTTTAAAAAAAATTTTGTCAAATGGCATATTTCACAATAGATCCACATGCCAGAAGTTCATACCGTAATCCTACAGAAATGAAGAACGATCGGTGATCCGCTCCATGCCACAAATCTAAGTTGAACCTCGCTCTACAGAATGGTGCTTCAAGCTCTGCGAAAGACATAAAAGCAACGGAGTTATTAACGATCAAACAGTGTTCACATTTTTTTGGGACACCCTGTATTTGTCGAAACTTGAAGATTTCTTGTATTTGAACGCGCACAACTCCTCCCAGATATTCGCTTGGCAGATAAAAAAACATATATTTGAAACCAACGTTCCAAAACGAGTCCGAAGATATGCGGCTTGTTTGGAATGGCTGGGTTAAGTTTTGACCATTTCCTCGTTAGACTCCTGGGGAGAGTTGCTATAAATATTTATAGAAATTGTAAGACTTGACCATCTCAAAAAGCATGGGTCGCAGATACAAGTAATTTCCAAGAGCTTGTTGACTGTGCGCAATTTTTCGAAACCCGTGTAAGAGGATGAAATGCTACATCGAATGCTCTCCAAAATCCACGATATGTGGCGTTCATTTGAAAAAAAAAACAACAACATTATTTTCGGAACGACGACCTGATACAATGACGATGCGTTTTGTTAAGTTGTTCTGTGCAGTTGTTCTACCGTTTCAATAAATTTACCGCTCAGAGGTACTGTAAATGAGGTGATTGTAAATAGATAGACATTGAATATGATTGTTCTTCATAATCTACTAATTTTTTGCTGAGTTAATTTGAGAAAACAAGGATTGATACACAGGAGTGTACTATCGACTACGAAAGAAAACCTTTTGAAAAGTCGAATCATTGACTTTTTAACGCTGGGAAAAGTCAAAACTGATAATGATTAGTTCCGAACACCGGCTAATGATTTCGTTGCGAAGCAGGCAACGAAGTTGAGCAACCATCATCGTTGGAGGGGAGGACACGTCAGAGTTTGTTACCGCCCGGGCTACTCAAAGCTTTGAGTCTTACAAGGGAAGGATAGTTGGATGCCGCGGCCATTCCTAATGATTTGTACACCAAAAAATGCGCCTTCGAATGCAGATTCTGAATCTGTGCTCGAAATCTGCGAAACGATCTTTTGAAGAAAGTTATGAACTTTTTTCCTTGAGAATTTAGCCTACTTTTGGATAGTAAAAATCACCAGATTTGATCTAGCCTACCGTTTGATGCTACTGAAGAAAATTTTAGACATAGTAATATTTATTTAGACTATCTGGATCATACTCAGCATTTAGAAAGGAGAGGAAATTTTTTTATTGATGATTTTGACCCTCCGCAGGAACGCAATTTTTTTAATGAAAAAAAAATCATAACTCCATTCAGATTATCGTTTCGCAGATATGAAAGACAGTCTACGAACCAGCATTCGAAAGCGCATTTTTTGGTATACAAATCATTATGAATGGCTACGGCATCCAAGTATCCTTCCCCTGTTAGTCCAGTCAAGGAGGTAGATTCATTATGTCGTTAGCACATTCACAGCAAGGCAGATTTTGCATTTTCTAGGTACCCACGGGTGGGCCGTAAGGTTGGCGAAGCGAGAAAGGCACAGGTCCAAAACGGCAGTAATTGCAAAATCTGCCTTGCTGTGAATGTGCTAACGACATAATGAATCTACCTCCTTGACTGGACTAAGACTCAAAGCTTTGAGTAGCCCGGGCGGTAACAAATTTTTTGGAAAGAGTTCAAAACATCTCCGAGAATTTTCCCAGAGTGGTAGTCGAAGGCGCTGGTTATCAAAAAATGATTTATTTCGGTTTTTGGCGTCATACGGTAAGGTTATGGCAGCCATTTTGTACAAAAGCAACACCACTGATTTTCATAAAAAAATTGTGTTTTGGGGTTATCTCATGTGCTGGTCACACTTATAGTGTCCCCTTTGTTCACTACTGTCTCACAGTGGGGCTACGATAGCAGTACGGTAGAATTTTCGTAAAAATTAAGGAACTGATGTGAGAAGGTGGTATTAGAACTATCATTTTCGTTATCAGCATGCTACAAAACCTATATATGTAAGATTTGAGCTTCCTGGAATGAATAATGAAAAATCAATAAAATCAATAAAATCGATATTTTTTGATGGGCTAGCATCAGTCTCCGTATTTGTCGGGCATGTAAACTTGCATCTTCAAAAACAGCGCCATTTTGCGAAAAATTTGAGCTAAAGTCTGTGCCTTGTCTTTATCTACGGTATACCTACCGTTACATTAGACTACAGTATCCCTAGCCCGTACCACTGCGGCTGAAGCTTCGGTGAGGTGTCCCCAACCATATGCCAGAACCCGTAGAATTCCATCGTAGGCTGGCAAAACTAGATCTTCAGGAATCACGACCCACCAATGGGTCGTATTGTCGTGAATGTATATATGCGTCGACCCCCTCCCCTCCTGGCGCACAAATGAGTACAAACGACTACAGCTTGCAATTTATCCTATGCAACCATAGAGTTCTTACCGTACTACTGCCGAACCTATATGTCTTTCAGTGTAAGTGCTATACTTACTGATATGAAGTGCTCAGCGTTTTCTTGGAGTTGTCTCATATCATTTTCAAATACGAAACTGGTATAGCTGAAACATATCAGCTGCACTGCGAATGCTGCTTTCAATGGCTACTTTGAATAAGTAAATAAGCTCTTTAGCAAGCATTTTATTACAGAGAATTCCGAAACAGAAAACTCTTGACCATTCTTAGACTATGAAGTTTTCCATTACTGGAACTCTTGATTCACCACACTGGAGCAATTGTGGTACCTGAAAATGCAGTAAGATCAACAATTTCTTACATGATTAGAACAAGTTCTGGCTAAACCTGCTGACCTTCGAAAATTGGCGTGAACTCCTCTTCCTCTGTTCCGTGAGGCTGCTCACTTTCGGACGTCATTGCTGTCACTGTGGTTTCTTCTTGGGCAGCTGTGGTGGCCTCTTTTTTGGTGTTCTCTAAATTTTTTAATTCAAGTTCAAATGCCTATCTGTCGCCGTAACCTCCTCCTTCGGTAGCTGTGGTCCTCTCCTCATCTGGTAGCGGTGTGTATGGGTGAGCTGTAGTAACTGAAAACCACATTCTGGTAATTGTCAGCAGTGAGTACATTCCAACCTTTACCCAGATAGTCCTCGTTTTCTAGTGTTGTGGTTGGGTACGTGATAGGATCTAAAAGTCATGGAATTGTAAAATTCCAAAATACGAAAAGAGAGTGTATGCCTAATGGTAACCTCCTCCGAGAGGTCCTACCTAACGGATGCGGACTTTCGGCCCATTGTGGTATCACTAGTGATCGTCCTGCTGGCATTATTATTTTTTGTGATCCTAGCACTAGCTCAAACCCAGGAAGTGAAGATTGAGATTCATGAGGTCTGCGATGTTCCCCTAGCTCAGGAACGTTAGAAGAATAAGGTTCATATCGTCTGTGAGGCTCTTCTAGCTCATAGGTATCAGGAAATTCGGGAGGATGAGGTCCATATCGTTCGTGATGCTCCTCTGGCTTATTTGGACCAACAAATTTGGGAGAGTAAGATCCATTACCTTTATGATGTCTCGGGCGATGGAGTTCGAGCTTGTCCTCTGCGCTGACAGCTGCTACATGCAACAATTCATTCAAACATAGAAGGGTAAAAGAATTTTCACCTGTTGCAGCAAACAAAAGGAAGAATATGAGCATTGTTTCCGTTAAAAGTCGCTCTCAACTTTCTTATATCGTATCGCTGCACTTCTTCATAAATATTTCTTAGTAGTTAGATGTAGGCATCGTTTAATGCGCTCATATTACTTTATGTCCTACACATTCTTTTATGCGTGAAAGTGTGGTCATGGAATAACCTTCTATATCAGAGTGCTGTTAATGATCCATTTTACGATCTTGTTTATGCAAAAATGTTCTTGTACATGCAGATGATTTACCACCTAAGATTTTGTAGATGTAAGGACACACGCTCAACTGTTATCGTTTCTTTTACAATCGTCAAAGGTTTTTTGTGGTCCTGAAGCGAAATAAACAATAGAGCGAGGAATGATCTTGAAATTCGATCGATATGTGCGCGAAAAGAGAAGAAAGCAGGTTCAAATGAATTTGAGGGGCAAATTAACATTCTCAGCGTCTTGTTGCGAAAATGGTATTCGTAAACTCTAAGCCGAGTATTATATCTGAATGCTCAAATTGAAAAACACGCTCGTCGCTAAAATAATTAGAAAAATGACCATTTGCTTCTACCTATTTACTGGATCTTTACACTGTTCGCTTTAGGAAGCCATATACATACAAAGTGGCATCATACATCATATTAACAAATGTTCGTGCAAACATGGATCGCATTATCGATCTATACAGCCCACATTGCTCACGATTCTGAACGAGGGGTCCTGCGCGAAGATAGGCAACAAACCATGCATCCGCATCATGAGCTTGCCCCAGTTGTATGCGCGGACGGAGCTTATCGGCGACGTATTGAGCTGCACTCCATTTCAAATGAATAATACTGTAACAGATCGGGATAAGTGTAAATCGCTGTGTTACAGTGCAGCCTATTGTAGTTGTTCACAATAATTGATTATAGCGATATCTCATACACTAGAATTTACCGAATGGCTATAAACTGAAAAGTAAGAAGTCGACTAAAACTATTGTTCCATAGAATCTGTAACTCAAACATTATGACGGAGACAATTTCTGTGCTGGCTGCGTTTTATCCTAGTGGGGTAAAGTTGGTAAGGCACCATAGCCTTGATCTGCCGCCGTCGTATATTTTTTGTCACTAATGTCAATTTCAGCGTATTATTTCACGTTTACCATCGCTGTTTTATTCTAGTACCTACATTCTTATGTTCAAAACTATTTATTGTTCTGCTGCTTATTCAGCGAAATGAAAAGAAACGATAATACAGCGTGGCGAGGCATCGCCTTACTTTCAGATGAGATAACATCCAATTTACATTTTCGAATTGAAGAGATTGTAAAATGAAATGATAGCTGAGCATCATCGTGATCGCTGCACAGAAGAGATCATTCCATAACAATTACGCTCACGCATCCAAGATTGACGACTATATAGATCGTAAAATAGAATGTTCACAAGGAATGAAAGCTCACTATGTGCCTTCCGTTAAAGGATTAACCATGAAAGCTTTTGCCCACACAAGCCTTTAAGGACGTTGAGAGGGCTTCAGACCAAAAGCAATGCAATCGCATACTCTGGTCCTTTTGGCTGCAGTGATAGGTGAAAATCATAACTTTCTTTTTTCCGGATACTTTTGTGTTGCTCATAGCGCAAGTTCTTTCATATTTAGCAACTGTGAGCGCAGGCGATGCCCGCAAACTCCGTGGATAAATTCGTAAACGTTTTAGGAAACATGAGAGGAAAAGTTCATCGCTTTTTTCCACGCTTTTTGAATCATATAGACCAAAGCATCGACATCATCATAAACATGATTCTTCAATATTTTCTGGGGCGCATAGATTAAAGGACCATCATCGTCACTATGGACCTTCGCCGCTTGGTGCTCGTGGTTTTCACCGGAAAAGGCTTAGCCTATGGCTGCCATTCCCTAGAGGACCTTCGAGACCATCACGGATTGTTAAAGAAGGTTATGAAGAGTGTTTTACACATCAATGACTAACTTGGAAATGCGGTTTTAAATACCACAGTTCATTCAAGCACAGTAAAGCCCTGACCAGCAGTCGACCTCAATGAAGGCAGAAGATCATCACATCAGAACCAAAACCAAAAGAATAGAAAACTAATAAAGAAGTTCCAGGTAATAAGAGAGAAACCAGACCAGGACCAGATTTTATATATGAATATGGGTATAATGTTTTCAAAATGATTAGAATCAACGAATCGAAATTTTCGGAGACAGAGCAAGGCAACTATGAGAGAAATTGGTCAGAAATAAGTTTGGGAGTGACAAGGTATCAAATTACAATGATTCAGGCAGCTCATCCGCACCAGAGGAGTGAGTTGAGGAAGTTAATTAGTGGAAATTAGGAAAAATTAGGAAAAAGATTTTAAGATCTTATTTTCAATTTGTTCCTATTTCCGTCTCTCCTTGAGGTAAAGTGGTCACTTGAAGCTATCGTCTATTGCACATATACAAAAGAATAGTAATGGCAGTTGGAGGTCAAGTTAGAAAGGTCCCATTGTTCTTTATCATGGTAAAAATAACAGACAGCTTACCATCGAAAACAGATTGCTATTATCAAACCTGAGACTTTTGTGACTATAATAAAAGTAATACTTTGAGCTTTGCGAACCCAGAACTGCAGAAGTCAAACTTTGTGCGGTTTGTGGGGATCACTGGAGTGGTGGAATCATTCTTTGGAAAACATCAATAAAAAAGCGGTTACAGTACATCTACTGTAACTTTCATTAAGGAATGGTACGAAAAAGTGCTCCATTTCTGAAGTCATCACCACTGTTTTTCTTTGAAGTCTTCCTGTAACAAGATCTGGTTTCAAGTCGCTTAACGATCTTCAAATTTCTTGTCAAAATTCTACGGTGACTTGTTTCATACCGTGAGACTAAGGTGAAGCAATCTTTAAAAATGGAACAGAGTCTCCGATATGCATTAGGGTGAGAGATTACAACGACTAAACACTTTATACTTATGGATACATTGTAGGACCACAATCGTTGTCTAACAAAGGTGCCTAACAAAAGAGGGAAATGCAAGAAAAAGTATTGCATAGCCATGGAAAGCACAGGTGGAAAGCGATGGGTGAAAAAATTCTGCATAGGCCATAGAGTGAAAATAACAGATACCTCAAGTAGCATTCGAAAAATTTCTTGTTGTTTCCGTTGATATGTTCTTGATCCACCTCGGAGCGCTGAAACTTGAGTCTTTCCAAAAATTATTCAGCACATCTAAATAGGAAGCTGGAGAATAACTGAAAACTGCTTAATTTGCAGAGGGTTTACTTTATTAGCTGGCTATCAATGCTTCTCCAAAGGAAAGAAATTTTGTAAGAAACGAAAAGTTGTAAGCTTGGCGAATATTTTTCGCCACTGATGCACATGGGCATCATCGAAATATCTCCTGCTTCCTACAGTTGCACTCCTTGTTAAAAATGCCATCGTAAAAGCTTGAGTCTACTGTTTAAAATACCTTTCTTGTCTTGCGCCAGCTCAATCCACTCGCACGGAGGGGTGGCAAATAGAAAATTGCCAATCAGTGCGTGCCGGCATTGCGGTCGCGTGCGACGGAACCTTTTAGCAGTTAGCTTTTACGCGGGAAAAATCGCATTTTTAAGGATATTCCGTCACTGTGGGGCAGAGGCTTTCGATTTTAGTAAATGAAAACCCTCTCTGTATGGTTATGCTAGGAAGGTGTCGGCACGAGTGTCAAGATTACAGATTTGGCTACTTTTTGATTAGAGACAGGGCTCGGCACGAGGTGGCTTACAAGCAAGCTGGGTATCGTTTTTGGGATGAAAAGCAAAGGGGGTTTCGTTTTTGTGACCGAAGACACACGCAAAATTGGCGATTTGGCGACGTTTTTTTAGTCGACGTTTCGTTTTTTGGAGGATTTTTAGGGAAAATGGTGGGGGGTCAAAGGGGACATCGTAAAAATCCCAAAAGTCAAGGAATTTGTTTGTCTTCACGGGGTTTACGGGTAAATAAAAAAACGGCTAAGACTTTTGCGCCGACTTTATAGTTTTCGACGTTAAGGTGTATCACTCATCTTGCAGTGATTGCCGATTCTCTTGTTGCCAGAACTTTTTCTCGTGCCAGTGAATGCCGAGTTCGAGAGCAAAATCCACTCTTTGAGCCGCTTCTGATACAAGCTAGTTGCTGTAATTCGCTAGGTTTCGTTAACGTTTATAAGGTAAAAGCGGCTATTCTTTGCACTGACGTTTTTTAAATATTAATCGTTCTTACAGGAATACTGCTGGAAATATAGAATTTTTATTCTTGCGGAGTCAGGGTAAATTCTAATAGGTTTTCCGCTCACTTCGCACTCTTGCGGCACCGAGATCTTCTGGTAGAACTTGAGCGTGAAAAATTAGTTACGCCTGTAATGCAGGCCACTTGCGCGCGCAATATGCCAATTCACGGCCTGGCCGTTTGTTCACGAGCAAACTTACAGCAAAATCATAACATAGAGCAGATTTAGTGAATCTGAAGATACAAAATGTTGCTCTAACCGTAATCCTGGTAAGAAAAAAATCAACGGTTGCCTTCATGTCATAATTATCGGTCTCTCAAGGTTAATGAGAAAAAAGGCCAGCTTAAGTAGAGTTTCGCCTATATATTTATTTTTGCGCACAATCATCTCATCAAAAGTAAAAGGCGGAAACTTGTCCACGTGGTAAAAAACATTTTACTTGCCGAACATTGATGAGGTCTCTGAAGTTTTACCCAATGACATTTTGGCATGTGGCGGACCAACGAAAGAGTGGGCGGATATTTTACTGCAATGGCAAGGAAGGTGTCAGTCCTGTGGCAAAACAAGTCGCGTGCCTTTCTCCGAATTGAGATGTACGGTTATTTTGAACATTCGATTCTACTTGATTGTGATATGTGCTATATCGATGATTTTTGTAATCGGTTATTCCTTGTACCGAGTCCTTAATGTGACTACTCTTCTTCTCTGAGACAATACTCCTCTTCAAGCAGCAGCAAACAATACTCCTTTTCCTTGATTATACCCTTCGAATTGCTAATTTTTCAGCGCAAGTTTGCAATGCAAAACGAAGTGATTCAAGATCTGAGATCGGAATGAGCGATGTGTTTGCAAACGAGTTCCTTCATAGTAAATATTATAATAGAGCAATAGAATGATTAAATAGGCGGAGCGAACTTAATATCACTGAAAAATGTCACTTTTTATCAGCAAGATAAAGCAATGCACCTATAGATTCGGTAAAGTGAGCGTAACACCATTTCACAAAGATTTTAGACGTGCCATCGCACCCAAAAGATCATCTTCATTTTGCTCAAAATAGCACTATGACTATTTTATTCGATAAACTAATGGCTCCGTTATATGGTACGCTTCAGTTGTCTAAAACCGAAATGTGCGTGAAAGGTGCATTTCGGCGGCACCTTGCAAAAAAAACTCAATGCTCTATCAATTCTGTTAACTTTCGAGCATTGCAAAGTCGTACAACTATAACATCTCAAATATTAACTGTGAGCGTGGAGATAAAAAAACGAATTGATAATGTTTCGCCATTTTGTCATTAGTTTCCTTTTTCGCTATAAAGAAAAGAGGAATTGGGTTGCTTCTGATAGGTTTAGGCGTAGTTTACCTAATAACGGTTTGCAGCCTTCGTACAGACCAACAAAATCATCAAGATTCATCACTCGATGATGATTTCGTTGTAGCTCATGATGTTCTGCCAAACTACCGCCATACTTTCAAACTCATTCAAACCCATTTTCCAGGCCTGTTTTATGTTTGCTAGAAAGCGTAACAAATGACAATCTGCTGGGTTTTGTCATGCAGAAAAATCTCACAGTATTGGGTTTTTTCTCAGCAACATAGCTTCATTTAGACAGTGCAATTATGCCACGTATAAATTTTGACTGTTTTCTTTCTTCAGCATTTTCCTACGTAGGCTTGTCAGTCCTGGAAAAATCACAAATTTTGTTCAAAGACATCCTGTTTAGGCCCTCAATCTCATGAAGCAAGTTATCCGTTTTCGTCAAATAATGACATAAGAAGTGAAACCTGTGCAGAGAGCGCTTCTTTTCATAAAAACCGCGCAAGCGTCAAAAGTGTTTCTTTTGTGAATCCTTTTTTGGAAGTGATGACTCGAAGAAGAGTTCCCAACAAAATAGGTATTTTTCAAGGATGCACTTTTTCAGGTAATATAGCAAATCTTATTGCAAACCACCATTCCTTGAAGGAGTGGGAACGTAATGTCTATTCCAAGATTGCTACCGATTGTGGTATTGTTTCAGGTGTTACTTCATATATTACGTCACTAGCGAAAAATGATTACATTTCCTTCAAACTCTAGCCATTAGTTCTTGCATTTGCTTTTTTTCCTCAATTTGACCCACTCTTATGATATAGTTATTCTATGTTTGTAGATTGATAAATTTTCATTTGAGTTTGAAATCATCAATAACCTCTTGATCTTCTTCTTTCAAACGTTACCAGTTGCTTTTCCAAATGATTACAGAGCATCAAGTGACTTTACCGCAACAGCGGAATGAAATATGAATAGACTGGAGGAATCAGTTTTATTATTTCTATATCGCATTGTAACTCCTCATTTCCATCCGTCTGCTGCAGATGAAGAATCTGAGAATACTGTGTGGTTTGGTACTGTACCTTTATAAATTTTAAAAACCAGTCTCCTCAAGGTAGTGGCTCGGAAAATTGCGAGTGCGAGCGTTTCGCACCTGAATGGCCTTCTGGATCCCGCTGAGTCCGAGACTGTGCTTGAAAAGTCAAAAAGTGCTTTCTCGGCGTCTTTCGGCTTTGGAGACAGCTGAGGGGACTGAGCGAGGGATTCCCGCCAAAAACCGACTCGCTGCAGGATACTGTAACTCCACCCATGGCAATTGGCTGATAGGCTCAGGCAGCCAATCGCGACTCAGTTGACGATCGTTCGCCCATTCCTTCAGCAATTTCCAAAACCGGAAAACGCCCCAAAAAACACTTCATCGACCGAGCAAATCCCTGGACTTAGCGCATCCACAATGCCAAGGAGAGTGGAAAGCTCATAACTGCAACTTTTCCAACCCTCTGGCTTCAAGGTTTCTTCTCACCTTATTACACCACAACTTCGCCTTGCTTCGCTTGCGAAGGTTTCCATTTTTTGGATTCCTTTGTCTTTTTCTCTTTTCCTAATGCGATGGTGTCTAGGATTGTACCATCATAAATTCTTAGCATATTTTCAAAATCTTCTGGCTTCTCACCTCCGCCTTCAATCATCTTTCTTCGTTTCACATCTAGCCACGGTGCCCTTGGATATGTACCATCTAAAGAACACCATGATTGAATAATCTTCAAGAATGACTAACTCCTTAAAACCTTCTTCGTCCGATACTCTTATAAGAGTTTTTCCTGGCCTTGGTATTACTCTTTTTCTTAGTTCTTCGGGCGAGAGCTGTAAGAGCTGCTTCAAGAGCTCAGAATTTTCTAAATGACGAGAGACATGGGAACCGAGCGGATGAGGTCCATTATGATGGTGCTCCTTTAGCCCTTGTGGTCCGGGAAGTTCAGAGTGGGGACCACGATGTTTGTGACGTCTTGGGTGATGGAATTCAAGTTCATCATCTGCGCTAATGGCTGCTAAATATTAGAAATTTTAGGCTCAAAAACTAAGAAAATGTATGAAAACAAAAATTGAGGATTTTTACTTATCGTAACAGCCAGTAGAAATAGCGCATGCGATAGCATATTTCTTGTCTGAAGTTTCTCCCAACTTCCTTATATGCGCATGTCGTTCATGTCGCCGTGGTTCTCATAATCAATTTCGTGTCAGCTGCATGTATTGCGAGCAATTATGTGTTTACATCAGTTTTACGTAACAAATTGTCTTGCTTAGAACGTGAGGATGACAGTTATGGTGCTATGCTGAATAGCTAATGGTTGAATTTTGACAATGCAAAATTGTGAGAATGTGGGCTGATGTTATGCCAAAAGCAAGACGCCTTGCCACGTTGTTCTGTCGCCTCTCCAACAATCGTTTCTTTAAAAAATACACCGACCGAATTTATTTTGCATGAATTAGCGAACTATAACATGCTGGGAACCACGATGAAATTGGTTGGAAAGAGTACAAGCATAGCCTAATAAAGAGCACCGAAGAGAAGCATAACCTTCACAACAGCTTCCTTCCAAATCAAGCTGCTTTAAAAACTAAAAGCTTGTATTCTACAGCCATACTTGTCCAAATGCATGTTCACATAGTGTGTACGCTATCTGGATGAATAGCTTCTAAGTTGCAAATTGGACTGTGTCCGCATAATTTCGCGGATTGTCTGATGCATTTGCTTTTGTTCTTTTATTGAATTTGCACTTTCTCTAGAAAGAAAGCTTCTGAGGGGAGCTTTGCATGCATAAACAGATCAAAAATCAAAATTAAATAATGTTTTTCAAGCAACACAATGCAGATCAGCGCGCTACGGTAGTTGATCAAAACTGCTATGGTCAATAAAAACAGCGCTAAACAACAATAGTGATACAACAAAAGTCACAGGAGATCAAAAGATTACGGTTCAAAACACGCCTGATCAAAACAATTTACTGAATATTTCGAGTTTAGACAGATATTCAACTTCAATCAGAGTCAGACGAAGCATTGCTGGAAGAGGACGAGTCTTCGCTATCCGACGAGATCTCCGATAAAGAAGGAGCACATTTACTAGCTTGCAATGCTACAGTATCTACCGATGGGGCGCCTGAATTTGCTGATGAATTACCATTTTCAGGTGATGATACGCAACTAACAAAGGACCTTTTTTAGGACGTTGTGTGATTGAGCCACCGAGATTTTTGATCTTTTCTTCAATCGCACGTTTTCGTTCTTCATTGCCAACTTTGGCGGCTGGAGAGACATACATAATCGTGTGCCTATCAAACTATTATAAACTTGCTCTTGCGCGATTTTCGCTTCAAGATCGCCGTAACAAATGCGCGCAACTCATGAAGCGTTACCGGTTTCAAAGCCTCGAAATCAATCTCCACTTCTTCTGCTTTATCATCCTAAATAAGGATGTTATGCGCTCTCCCAGCGTGTAGAAAAGCCACTCACAGATAGGCCTTCCCTGTTCTCGATGATACTAACTACAATAGTGAGTTTGTCTGCCGGTAGTTTTCCCATATCCAAGCTAAGCTGGCGTTTTTCGTCAAAGGACATTGGTTTGTGAGCGGCTTCGTCCCCAGAGTCGAATCGATAGTCTTTCTTCCGATGTTTTTTGTTTGTATGAATATCGTATGCGGTCCGCTGAAGTCCATAACTACAGCAAGGTTGCGCTGTTTCTGCGTCGGCATCCACCGATGTTTGGTGCTAAAAAAAATTCTGCTTCTTAAGAGCTAGGAATGGAAAGTGTAGCTGATATCGCCAAAAGCCACTGGATAATCCTGAAGAAATTATAGAAACCCAAAAATGTCGGTACTATATACCCAGATTCCGCGGTAGACTACGGTAATCTAAGAGTGAAAACGATGTCACTTGCACATATATCTTCTTTGAGGGTTTACTCCTGAAGGTTCGCCATTTTTTGAGGGGAGTTTGAAACACTACTGTAATGTCAAATATCTAGCATATGAAGCATCCACAATTCCGCAGCTATAGAGATTTGGATGTCTAGCTCCATTTTTCTTCTTTCCCGCCTTCACTCGAGTATATGTAATATTAGGTTGGCTCATAAGTTGCACTTTTGTCCATAACCTCTTTCTAGTAAGGCGCATTCAAATCTTAGCACTATACAGACTCGAAAGTAAGCTATAAATCTGCGCAAACCTTTTGTTTATGGTAAAATGGAAAAAGTCCACGCATTTTTTTAAGGTCAAAACCGAGGTTTTACGTTTTTAAGCAAAAGCGATGACTTTTCATCGAAGAAGACGTACAGAAAAATGATCAAATAAGATCAGCAGAAGCTGTTGGTAAAATGTTTTCATGAGCAAAGTTACCTAACATACATAGCTCGGCCTTTTGGCAAGATACATATATGTTCCGAATTAGCTTCACTCTGATTCCAAATATGCTATTACTCTGCTGTGCACATTCCGAAGCGAGTTATGGGATTATTCCTGCGCAAAATTGGTATAATACTGAACATGAGAAGACTGCCTGTAGATAAAAATTCGCAATGAAAAAGTGCTGAGATATCGAATTAACATGATTCCGATCTTTTCTCGCTAAGAAGCTTAACGCAAGTGTATTAGCACTTAGACGATGATGCCGTGACGCCAGAGAGTCGGTGAGTATGCCATTTTGCGCAGAAAAAGGTCCATTACTCACTTCGGAATGGTGCTCGGCAGCTAGGAATAGTGTATTTGGAATCAGCGTTTGAAGCTGATTCAGATTATATAGGTTCCTTGCCAAACGGCCGAGCTAAGTTAGGTAGCTTCCCTTCTCAGATTGGCTGAAAGAATGGTAATCTAAAGTCAAATCGAAATCTGACGATTTCGTGAACTCGAACTAGTCAAATGCGTCAAAGTCGTCTCTAAAATCCATCACAGATAGAAAGTCGGAACCGTCGGATTTGCGATCGCACAATAGGATACTGACATGCTCAACACGAATATCATATTCAATTGTTGTCTGGGTCAAAGATTGAGTAACTTAACTTTTTCATAGCCAGATTAGCCTTCCACGCAAAATAAATATCATTTTCGTACTCAGCATGTCGCATAACCCACTAAACAAGTTTTATCCAAATCCGTGCCAATTCCATCTTCTCTCCCATTCAAAAACTAATTCTCAAACGCGATGCTGGAATTCGGCAAAAATGGCTGGATTCGTTGCTCAAATGATAATCAGTGTGATACCAAAAAAAGGAAGAGCCACATCAAAATAAAACAAAAGCTATAAGAAAAAGCTGCAAAATTTTTGTCAACTAATACATCATCGTAGGCTTTAATGACAGACCACTTTCCCAATAAGACTCGAAACTTTCCTTATTCAATAACACGCTGTACTATTAACCCAATCTGTTTACGCATCCAATTCCATGAAAAATTTGAGCTGCTAACCTCAATGTTACGTACAGGAATTAGCGCTGAGAATAAATTATAAGCTATCTACTAGTAAGAAACAGATAATGTGATAAAGCCAACAATTGGAATTACAAATCTGATTTTACGCAGCCAGTACATCGCATACGCATACAGAGCGGAAACCCCGTGTCGGATTCATTTTCGTAGAAAGCTCCGAAACTATCATGTTTTACGTGCTAGATGGCTTCGACAGTGAGCAGAACTATTGAAAAATTTGATTGTAAATATATGGTGCGTACCGTAGTTTTCGGTTCAGGGCTGCTAGAAACCAAATCTTTGACGATCGATGTAGCGGTAGATGCTTTGTGAGCCTTTGTGTCTACCGGCTCGTACTGAGGAACGCTTAGCGAGGATAATTGGTTCAAGAGTTCTTCTACTAATTCTATTTCTTTGAAAATCACGTCCTGTGGTGCAGTCTGGCCCACTAACTCCTTTATCCTCATTAGGTGTGAGGCGATATCTCCTGTGATTGTTGATAGCTTTTCTTCCAAGAGCTCCACCTGAAAAATGGAATTTTGCTTCAAAATCAAAGAGAAACATCTGATACCCTGCGACAACTTTTGATACTCTCAACAGCCGTTCTGCTTGAGCTAGCCACAAAGTGTACATTTTTCTTGCCCACTGGTAAATTCAGCCACTGAAAAATTCAGTTTGGCTGAGTTGCGATCGTGAGATACATGCTAACTGACCCGTTCATTGAAAGCTTGCAGGAGAGCTCGGGCATGCTGATGGACGATATGAGATGATGGATTGTATTTGAAGCAATTGTTACAGACCTGCAAAAATAAAAATATCAGCGAAACATTCGCTTTCCTGCCGCTGCCGTAAGCGGACGTGTTCTCGTATTCTTTGTACTCATCACTTCGATTTGTCGTTTTCTCCAAAACTTTACATTTCTTTGATTTATCATCTTTCGGTGCTTGTTGGTCTGTGTCGACGGTTGTATTTTATCATCCATCGTCCCATTTTTAAAACTCGTCAATTTCAATCTCATTTATTGTTACTTTTGGCTTTCTTCTTTTCTGTTTTTTCGTGCCTTTTAATCTTTTCCTCTTAGCTTATCTTGTTTGGTAGTCTACATCTCGTATCTCTGCTCGTACTCCTCCAATATCTCGTGGCCTCTGCCTTCATCGATTTTTGATTCGACGTTAATTTGTGTAGTCAAACTTACGCCAGTATGCCGTCCAAAAGTTCGCGTGTAACCAAAAGGGTAACTTTAGCCAATCTATCTCGCCTCACAATGGCTCGGTAGATGTAAGTAGCCAAACCCTTACAGCGGACTTCTCTGATATGGTAATAGAGGGTCTTATCGGCTGTATCAGAGAAAGAATCTCTGATCCATTGATCGATGAAATGTTGGCCCTTTTGTGTGAGAAGCTTCCCCAAATGGGCGGGGTAGATCTTCTCGTGGAGAAGCTGTTTAGAAGCATAGTTATAAGTGGAGTGGCCGAGGCGGAGGGCACGGAGGGCAGCACGGGCTATCAGGATAGACAGCTTGAACTGGAGAATAAAGTTGGGAATATTTTAGAGATTCTCAGGGTGGACTGTCGTCCTGCAAAATTGTACCAAATGGGTAGAATGGTTTCAAATCCTGCACGGCCTCGATCGGTCAATGTGCTGCCGTCTAAAGCTCATTGGCGCACAATCCCAATATTCGACTTCTGCGGCCCTCAGGTTTTCCTGATATCTTCGTCAGGAAAAGTATGACCCCCTGAGGAACGTAAGAGAGACTATGAGCTACAAGTAGAGGCTCGTGAGCGTAACAAAGGTAAGTAACCTAAGGAGTGGTTGGTGTATTGCGTCGAAGTTGTACATATCTTTAGTCTTTCACGAAATACTCCGGGAAACGCGTAAATGAGCATGGCTCTTCTGCATATTTTAAGCTATGCTTATTCAATGCACATAGAGATACTACTGAAGAAGTTGCATCTCCTACAGTTTTTTCTCGACAAACACCCGATTTTGTTTTCGTAATAGAATTGGCTCAATGCAAAGATTCCTGACTCCGAGGTTCTTGAAGGTTTGCCGTACTTTCTTTTTTGCTCCGATAGACACTTCAGAAAGAGTGGTAAAGCACGCTGCTTAATTCAAGCAAATTCAGGTCGCAAGTGTTAATGCAAATTCTGAATTCAAAGCAGATGTGCTGAGTGTACAAGTCATGCATACACTACCTGTTGCAAGTTACAATTTGTCACGGTCTACGCCCACCCAATTCGTATAAAGAGGATGATGATAGCCTGATAGATTACTTGAGTTGCCTGTTGTTGGATAATACACAAATCATTCTTCTTGGTGATTTCAACCTGCAAATTGACTGAAAAGAAATGATTCAATGCTGTTTTTGCTTTCTTCTTAAATTCTTTTACATATGTTGTTGTGCCTACCCATGCATGTAACATTCTGGACTTGAAGCTCTCGTCCGCCTCGGACATATTGAATGTGACTGTGCTTCCACATCTTTATTCCAGATCATAGCATTATCTTTTGTGATCTTGAAAGATGTCGAATCTGACTGTTCGTATACTACCTCTGCCTGATTTTTCGGAATGTAGACTACGCTTCTCTCGACAGCTATTTCGCCACTATCAATTGGCTTTCCCTTTTTGATAAATATATATTTCTTGTTTTGATGTTTACAAAAGACTTTGCGAAGTTCTTTATGCAGCTCTCAGTTGTTTTGGTTTAGAAAATTCCATCTATGCAGACTCTCATCCTACCGCCACAGCTGCGTGCTCTATTTTTGCAGAAACAACATCTTTTTAATACAATAGACAACCCTTTTTGTAACCCATTTTACAAAAAAGTTTGTGCCGATATAGACTATCATTTGAAAAAAATCACAATATATGAAAAAAACTTGCTGCCAAGACTTCATCCAGATATTTTTTCCATATTTGAATAAAAAATTGAAACCTGCTGCTAAACTTCCTATCCTCAAAGATGCCCACGGTGTTTCGTACATTAGTGATACTGATAAAGCCTAAGCCCTTAGTACTTACTTTGCTAGTGTTTATTCTCCCGTTAGTAATTAGTTGCATTGCATACACTACTTCGATGGAAATTAGTGTAACGCCAACTCATGGCTGTGTTGACGTTTACTTTCATCCATCAGTGTGTGCAACTTCCTTAGAAGACTCAAACTCTCCCTTACGGAAACTTTTGACAGCATACCGCAATTTGTGTACTTGAAATGCGCGTCATCGAATGCAGCTCCACTTGCACATATTTTCAATATATCGATGATGTTGGGAGAAGTTCCACCTATGTGGAAAGAAGCCTTGGTTACAGGCATATCTGCCTAAAGTTGATGGAACACTTTTTCTTACCAATTTTCGCCCCATTAGTTTACTGCCTACCCCTGTCAAAATCACGGAGAGAATTATACGAGATAAATTGATAAATTGGCTCAATAATTCGGGCCTAATCCCTGATGAACAGCATGGATTTTTGAACGATGTTTCTACCCACCATTAATCTGATTGACAGTGTGTTCAATTGGAGCTTGGTAATCAATGAGGGCAAATCTGTTGACATTATTATGTTGAACTTACTAAGGCATTTGATAAGGTTTGTCATTACATACTGGCTAAGTTAAGCAAATTGAGGTTGGAAGTAATCTGATTTTCTGGTTGATGTCTTATTTGCGTGATCGACCTACTACTGTAAGAGTTGGACATCATTACTCGAAAAGTATTGCTGCACTAGTGGTCTCGCTCAGGGAGAGGGGAGGGGGACTGTTTAAGCCCCCTTGCTCTTCTTGATTTATTCTCAACCTACCTTCTGCTTTGAAAACTTCCCCTAGCATACAAGTAAAAATATATGCTGATGATATAAAAAATTTATGGGGCATATGATGAACAGAAAGCCCCAGATATTCAGCTAGCATTGCAAACTTCTCTTGATAAATTGTGTAAATGGTGTGATAGCTGGGATCTAGCGTTGAACCCTGACGCTCAACGCTTCATCTTAAAGGTGGTTCTACAATCTTCTATCACATCAAACCACTTTGTTGAAAGGAAGTGATTCCGTTAGAGATTTGGGCGTCTTAATTGATACAAATTTTAGCTTTACTGAGCACATTGATATGACAATCAAAAAAGCATATTCTTCGCTTTTCATGCTACTTCGCAATGCTAGTACCAGCTCCACGATACGTTTGGTCTCTCTCACTCAGGATAGCGTTCCCAGATCTGTTCTTGCTTCCTCAAAAAAGATATGCGTAGAGTAGAAAAGGTTCAACAGTTTTTTACGAGGCTTTTGTATAAACGTTTATTACCCAGAATGACTCTCCTGAATACCAAGCCTGACTTAAGAAGCTTCATATGAAGTCTTCAACACATCGCCGGTATTTTCGGATTTTGTATTCTGCTTTCAAATTCTGAGGAAAGAGAACAAACCAAAAGCTAACAAGTACTGGATTTTTGTTCCTATCAGTGAAAGGTCTGGTTTCTTTGACCTGCAATATCCAGAAATCCGAAGCAGAAAAATACCTACTGAAGTTCGATAATGTATTTTGCAGGGGAGCTAAGTTGCTTTCGCGTCTTCCTGTTAATACCACTAATGTAGATAGTAGCCATAATTTCAGGAGTAGGCTAAGAAGACTTGACTTGTCAAGTATCGCCGAAATTGATCAGCGTTGCCTGGCAGTCAAAGCTTTTTCGTATTAAAAACGCTGAACTTGTTTTATTTGCTTGGGATGGCTATACGGCTGTATTTGTGGATGGATCTCATATATCTTTGTTTTCTATTATATTTTTTCCAAGTTTCATCTTTAATGACTGCCTCAGGTGACCTCTTTGGTCTTGTGATGGTTTGCTTTTCAATTATGGCCATGGATTTTGGCTTAGACGTCTCTCGTGTGTCCACATTGCGTCATACTTGTAATTTTTGTGTACTCGTTTTCTTCTTTCTTCTAGTCACTAACCAGTTTCATCAGCATCTTGGTTCGAGTCATTTTCGCTCAGCCATCTAGTACTCAATCGTACAGCTTGCTGATTCAACCAAATGGATTGAATGTGAATGTTTCACTTGAGGTTTTGGCCTCCCCAGCATTCCAGCTAGGCGGGTTTATGGTTAATATCATTAGTAGACCCGCCTCATAAGCTGCAGGTTTGCTTTTAAAAGTAACGTAAAGGTCGTTCCGCTGGCAATGAGGGGGGCATGGGTCCCATCTCCATGAAGTTATAAGTTTCAGAATTTTAAGTATCAATGCCTACATTTGTCATAGCTATTGACTTATCAACAAATTCAATTCAAACCGTTTCATCTTTCTTACATTAGTCTGACTAGGACTAGACTCGGACTGACATGATGATGTCTGCTTTCGTTTACATTTCTTGTTCATTCCGCTGTATTGATAAACCCTCGATGTGCTTTAATGGAACGCCTTGACCGTACAAATGAAAATGAAAAAAATGAAACAACAGTTACACTAACCAGCCTAATATCCTCGGCAAATTCTTCTGCATTCGCATACTGCTTCGATTCCAATTTCTTTTTTATCGTTCCAAGATCCATTGGTTTTGAGACTATGTCATAATAATCGAGCAAGTGCAATCCCTTAACATCGACTGGAGCCAGAAATGGCCAATTGAAATCCTAAAGATGATCCATTGGCAAAAGAACTGATAGCTTACGTACCTTACACTCGTTGCCCATCAACTCTTCAAGGACTTCACGGCAGAATTTCATTGACTCAGATTCGCTGTTTTCATAATTGGAACGTGAGTGCCGTCTAAGCTGTGGTTCCCTTGCTGGACATAAGGACTTGCGTTCAGGATCCTTAATGAAAATACCAATATTTGATGTGGAGACATTTGCCTATTGTTCCTTGCAAAATTTTCCTTTGATAAGTACACCGGTAGTAGTATCCGCTCTTCTTTTGATGCCTCTACGTCTTTTGACAGGATGAATAGTGGATGCGTCTGCCTAGCAACATCTGAATCATAGTCTGAGATAAAGCTACGCAAAACTCACCGCTGTTCCAGCTGGGCGCCTTTCAACATTTTCCGAAATCTTGGAGCCTTGTGCAAACGAAGTGTCGCCTATTTTTTTCTCAACCGAAGACGCACGAACTACAAAAAAATGCAACGCTACTATAACAGCAACTTTAACACTTTTCATACTTAAACTGAAAGTTGGGCTGAAGATAAGCCTTTCACAGAAAACAGAAGGAAAAAAATACAAGCAGGCATAAAAAAGTTCACTAAGGGTCGAGGGGGAAAACTTAAGGTCTGAGCGCGTAAGCAAATTTGTCGCTCAGATTTTGGTCCGGTATTATTTAAGATATTACTTACTTACTTAAATACTTACATGGCCCAGCTTCACGTGAAGTGCGGGCCCCAGCACAGAAGTTTCCATTTCTCCCTGCCCCTGGCTCCAGACATCCACGATCTTCTTGGCTGACGTCGGTGGCTGCTTCTACGAGTTCCAGCTGCAAAAATCGTATCCAGCTGATTTCTCAGCTGGTCCATCCGTTCCACGAACAATCCACCCATCTCGTTGGAGGTCTTCCTCGGGCACGTTTGGCTTCGCGAGGAATCCACTAGTTCTTAGTGTTCATCTGCGTTTGTTCTCATGATGTGACCGACCCATCGGTGTTTCGCTTTCACAACGTAATCCGCTGGGTCACGAAAACGGGACATTCCTCTCAATCCGCACTGCGATGTCCGACTAGAGGTTGCTTGCGTCGAGTCATCTTGAAGACTGCGCTCGAGCGCTAAGAGGGTGGTTCGTAAAGCTTTCGACGTGGCTACAGTGTCGGCCCAAGTCTCAGCTGCGTAGCAGAGCGTCGGGAGAACGGTTGAGTCGAACAGATGGGCACGAAGCTCCGGGTTCGTCAGTTGGTTTGTGGCTTCCTTCAAAGCCCCAAATCGGTCCAGACTGCTCTTCTTCAGTTAAGTTCTTCCCTCAAGGTCGTTCTCCATGTTTATCGAACGAGATACACGTAAGAAGACGCCTCTATGATAGGAATGCCCTCCAATACTATTTCTGCATTTTCACAAAGGGCGAAAGGCGTTTTTATGAGCTGAGTCTTCTTCCGATTTATTCGCAATCAGATCTTCTTCCCTACTTCGTTGAATTCCTTCAGCATCGTCTCTGCTTCAGTGATACTGCTCGAGAAGAGAACGATGTTGTCCGCACAACGAAGGTTCGACAGGAATCTCCCATTAACTCGTATACCTCTCTCGTCCCAGTCAAGTGACTTCATCACCCACTTCAAGGCCGCGGTGAACAGTTTCGGCGAGAATGTGTCGCCTTGTCGGATCCCCTTCCCAACTGGAATGATCAGGGGGTGATGGAACAGCTACGCTGTCGTTGTACAGCCCTTGTAACAGCCGGCTAACGTCCTCACGTAAGCTGGATCCACTCCTTGATCGACTAGCGCTGACAGGATGGCGTTGGTTTCGACGCTATTAAAGGCTTTCTCGTAGTCGACGATTAAAACGAGAGGCAGTCATACTCCCGGCAGACTTCTATGACCCTCGAAACCGTCTGGATGTGGTTCATACTGCTGAATCCTTTGCGAAATCCAGCTTGTTCTTGAGGTTGGGCTTCATCCAGTGTCCTAGATATGCGAGCAAGGATAATCCTAGGCATACTGGACGGTAGTTCCGAAGATCCTCTCGTCAAGAACCGTCCTTCTTGAAAAGAAGGACGGTTCTTGACGTTCTCCACTGGTCGGTAATCCTTTCTTTGTAAAGGTAAGATGTTAGGTGCGACGCGAGAATGTGTAGAGTGTGTCCTCCGGCTCGCAGAGAAGTTCGACGGAAAGATAATCTGGTCCTGGAGTTGTGGACGTCTTCATGGTCTGTATCGCGATACGCACTTCAGCAGGTAGAATTCGTGGTGGTACTTCTTTAGCGGGAACAACGGGCATCGGCACAGGTATTGATGAGCGGAAGAGGTTGGTGTAAAAATTCTTCGCGATAGATTCCATCTTATATCGGCAAGGAGTCGGAATCCCGTCTTCGTTTTTAATAGTGCAGCCAGCGGTACGTGATATTCACAAAGGTCCCTTCGGCGCTTCTTGAGACTTCGACTTTCTTCGGCTGCTTCCAGTATCTTTGCTTGCCTGCACCTCCTGAGATCCTCCTAAAAAGCTGTTCTGCAACTGGCGTTGGCTATCAGTCGCTCGAGATGGGTTGCATTCGGATCTTGCCTCACAATTCTTCTTCTTTCGAACACCCCTGGTGGTCTGCGAAATGCGTTCCAAGTTCTTTCCAGAAGTCACTAAGGCGCACTCTCCGCAGGCTCGCAATCCTTTCAGAAGCCGGTCATAGTCGTACATTGGGTCCTCCTCGATGAGCCAGTCATAATTTGGTATGAGCTCTTGCAGCCTGTTACCGTCATAAACGACATTCTTCCTTCTTGCGGCACTGTGGCAGACTTTCTTTTTTAGCTTTCGACTGATTTCTTTTTTAGCTTTCGACTGAATCGTACCTTCGCTCGAAGGAGGCGGTGAACAGAGCCACTGCAGAAGGTGAGGTTACTGAGACATCGAGCAATCTCCACCGGTTGGTGAGAATGTGGTCGATCTCCGCGTGAGTCGTTCCATTGCGATTCCCATGTCCACCGGCGATGTTTCATCTTTATGAAAATGGAACTTCCAAGGAAAAGTCGTGCGGCGGAGAGAAGCCCAACAAGACGGTTGCCGTTTTCGTTCCGGAGCCCATATCCAAACTTCCCGATCCTATATTCCTTTTCTAGTGGCATCCCGATTTTCGCATTGAAGTCGCCCACAACATACTTGTAGAAGGACTTTTCGTTGCGGACGACCTCCTCCACGTCTTCGTAGAAAGCATCTAATTCTGAGTCGTCAGCTGCTGCTGCTGATGTTGGAGAGTAGCAGTTGATGATGCTGATGCTCTTCTGACGTTGGAGGTCGTAGTCGTAGGATAGTTAGTTGAGGTGATGGGATCTCATTGAATTGACAAGATGGACTATAGATGGATGGACGACAAAGCCAACGCCTCCAACGTTTCGTGATGGAACCTTCTGATCACGAACGATGAGTTACCATCAATCATCTATCGCACGTCCTTCTTCCTGCACTTCATTTCCTGCAGAGCGATAACATGGTTCTTGATGTGCTCTGCAGCGTCGACAAGAGCGTGGAGGTCGGCGTTTGTAGAGACCGTCCTGGCGTTGTACCTGCACAGCATGAGGCAGTCTTCATGGCGTGTCGTCCGGGCAGACGTGTCGTTTTTGTCCATTTGATTCAAAAGGAGCCCTAAGAACCCTGATCGTTCTTGCTACCACCCGACGCCTTGGGCGCGGGATCCGATGTGCAAGGAATTTCTATATCTTCTTGCTTATAGAGTAATAAGATTTGTTTCCCTACAAGAGAAGACTTATAGGCCTACTCTCGATTTCCACGGGGCGATCGCTGACCCTGGGCTTGGAACGGGAAGACCATCTAGCGACCAGAAAACCAGACGGCGGTGGATCTGGCCTGGCCGGCTCTTAGCTAGGCATCCGGCCGAAATCGGAAACGTCGAACTTCTTCACAGCTTGAGAGGTCCTGCCAGAGTATACACTCGGCTGTGCATCGCAGTTCGACCCAGGCCCGTAGTAAACCCCCCGCAATATGTCGTAATGTAAAGAAAGCGAGGTCGCGACGTGTCCGACTGAAGAACATGCTGCTCACGGTCATGTTTTGGCCGTGAGCAGCAAAACTAGCGGCATGCGCGATTGAATCCTTCGATGATTCCTTTACGGCGCGCACTGCCACTCCGCTATAGGCAATCTGGATTTGGCATTTTCAAGGCAAGAACGCAGATCTAACAATAAGTAGCAGTTCAAGTACAGCAATCAATGATCCTATACAAAGGTGCCTAGGTGAGTTCTGAGCGGTGAGTTCTATCGAAAAGCATCATATTCTATTGCGCATACATCAAAATGCAACATCGATAGTTCTGTAAGCAGCTCGAGTGGATTTGAACTGCCAGCGCGTGCCAGCTCCGTCATGATGAACAAATCGTTTTGAGGACAGTTATATTTCGTGCCAGCTTCGTGCCAGCTTCATCGTCATTACGATTAGTTTTGAGGGTGGTTCCAGATATTTGCTATTATTTCATCGTGTATGAGCTCACTCATAACCATGCTTTGGCCGCCGCAAAACTTGAGCAAATTAAAGTTGAACCAAGCAAGCTTCGATTTGTATTAGCCCCCATTTGTAAATTGTAAAAGCGTGCACTGCTTTCGCATATATTCAATAAGGCGCATGGTGATGGTGAACGAAAGCAGCGTGGATAGCGCAGCACTAGTATCGGCCGCCGCTGTGATTATCAGAAAAGGAGGGGGCGGCCTATGTGGGTCAACGTTTTGCAAGCATTTCAGAGTTTTTGTGTAAATCAACAAAAATAGTAAGTTCTCCGGCAGTACAACAAAATGATCAAGTAAAACACAAAATGTTGAGAATATCACAGAAGTTAAGTGATTGTAAAGAAAATCGGTTCCTTAGTAAGTACAATCATGACCTATTCAATTAGTCATGACGCCATACTGTTTCCTCGCTCAAATTGAAAGGGAGACGCCATGTGCACAAATTACGAACAGATAGTATTCAGCATATAAACGCGATAGAAATTGCCAAGATTGAAGAAATAAGGAAATTACGACATGCAAAGAAAATTCGGCGAGCAAATGAATATCAGTGCAAGAAGATAGAGAAAAATAACTTATACAGTGCTGGTCATAATTATAGAGACACTATAGAAATCGTCGTAATTTTCGTTCTTGTCAGTGAATCTGTCTGAAACTTTGCTGTATGGTGCGCATGTAATTCTACCATAACTCCTCAGAACGGCTTCCAATCCCGTTGATTTCGAACGGAGAAAAACGGAAAAAGTTTCAGACAGATTCACTAACAAGAACGAAAATTACGACGATTTCTAGAGTGTCTCTATAATTATGTCCAGCACTGTATCACTAAAAAAACGATTAAATAGGTTTTTAACATATTCTTCTCCAAAATACACTCACCTTTTCCAGAATATAAGGAATATGGCAGCAGAAATGCACAGAGAATAGTTTAATCGCTCACCCGTTAACTTTTTTAGGCTTTAGCAGCAGTTGGTATCGATTGCATTTGCCGTGCTCAGACACTAGCACCGGCTGGCGGCCGTTCGACGGCCGGATCCGTCGCCGACATTTCGGACGGAACGGTCGCCAGCCGGCAGCCAGCCGGTACCCGAAAGGCCGTCGGCCGGTATGCATCAGTGGCGCAGCGACATGGCACTGGGCCACACTACTTCCTCCTCTAAATTCTAGATTTCGTTCCACTATAATCTTGATATGGGGTGGTACGAATCTACAACAGAATATTTATTGAGCCAAAAGATACAATGTGAAGAAACATCAAAGTCTTGTACCATATGTATGAAAAATACATTTGGAGGTACAAAACTGGTGACTTTTCATCTATGCGAGATCATTCGACGCAACTGGTTCACATATCATTGGACAGCCGTTCCGAACTAGCTGAAAGATCACAGAATTTTTTTTTGTACTTTTGAATGCCACACCCGAGCGTTGATGAGCTGCTTCGATAACCTGTAAGTAAATGAAACGAATTGCTGAAACAACAATTTTTAACTGATACCAGAACTTACAGCTATGCACAGGGTTGCGACAACGTCTGTTAACGGAGCAACATCAAAAACATATGCGTTCCAGGAGACGGTTAAAATAGATGATCGATCGGTCCCTAGAAAACACCGCAAAATTAGGTTTAATTGGTAGTGAGGGAGAACTTACGTCTTTTGGAGTGCGTCCAGCCGTAAGCATCAGATTTGGGAAATGCGGTAGAATATCAGATAAACCAATACCCATGTTCTTTACGTATATAGCAGGACCGATAATCAACGATCTCCAGATGAATAAGAAAATCAGCAAAGCAGGAATAGTCTAGAAGCCATACTCGTTTTCACGAATGATAGTTTAAAGTGACAGCACTCAACCATTCCTTGTGGTTCTATCAGAAAAGCAAGAAAGAACCACTATGCATATTGCAGCTGTCTCCTGAAAATCTTGTGCACGTCTAGTTTGTACTTCGTTAATTCGTACCCAAAAAATTGATGTTGATGCGACACATAAAGAATTCACTGACGTTCGGTTTTTTCGCCATTCCAGTCAAAATAAGCAGCATTATAGAGAGAAGAGATAACGAATACCTTGGAGTTTATCAAATCTGAAAAAGAGATGGAATGAGAGGAATCATAATAATGGGCTACATCGGCTATCAAATTCGGACGTAGAAAGTGACGCCACCGAAGTGAAAGACTTTAACAATAACAAAGTAAAATTGATAAAGAAAAGTTTTCTGCTTAACACAAGTACCCAATGTTTGAATTTTCTTACTGTACGCGCAACTTTGTGAGCTTTCCGAGCTTTTGCACAATGGAACGGCCGCCGGCCCGCATGATTTACTCGTCCGGTGGTCGGCCGGCGTTTGGCTTCGCCTAAAATGCTGGAGCGGACGCCGGCCGGCGCGAGTGTCTGAGTACATTGATACTAGTGCTGTGTGTGTGCTAGTGCTACGGTCCTTGAGCACAAGACACTCGGCGTACTCGACCCCTAGTCAGTTGCGCCTTCCTGCGTCTCCACGCACTTTTTCTTGCCCCTTAAGCGACGACATTCAAGATGTGCTCGTCCTCTGCGAACGAGGACGAGCACGTCCTGCAGTCGCGAAGTCCAGCGATTTCGCCGCGCGGCCGCGAGGTAGGCGAGGTAGGCGCGCGACGAATCGCGGCCGAAACGACAAACTGGCCCCTGCGAGTTTCGAACGTGGCGACCATCACGACGGGGGGTTTACTACGGGCCCCAATGTCACTTCAACGCCACGTTAAGGCGCCGACCATTGTGGGGATATTTCAGATCCTGGGTCAAAAAGATTTATTTAGTGATAGTTTCACGTAGTGAGAATTAAACTACGTTCCTGAAGGCTGCAAATATGCTGCATGTTCGAAATCATGCAAATAATCTAGACAGATCTCCTGACGACTTAACTACCATTGAGAAATACAGCACTATCTAGGGTTTGCATACATTGCCTAGCAACTGCGAAGCAAGTAAAAATTAAAACGCAAAAATATTGCACGTTTCGTACTACATTAACTCTTGTTACCGTGTATGGTTAAAAGGAAGCTTACGATATGCAACAACCTCGCACCTCCGATAGTGGTGCTTCCTGCTTTGCTTACCGAATGGAGGTGCCCGCGTACACACTTTGTCCCAGGCTTTGAAGACGGTCTTGCGATTTCCACTTCCTGAAAATGAAGAACAGAACAACAATCGATATCCCGCAATACTTTTTGGTTTCTGCAGTATGTACCAAAAAGAGGAACAAGCACATATTTGAGAAATTATTTTTGATGTCCTTGGCGACTAGTTTGCACTCACTTACTGCACAAGGCTCACCTCTTCAGGAAGATTTTGGATCAAGTTCCTGTACACGTTCTCGATATTCTGGCACATTATTGCAACATCATCTTCCATTTGATTGAACTTGTAACAGTTTCGAAAGACGCATTCAATGTCCTAAATTGGAGGGAATGCAGCATTTTTGTAATTTCACTAGAAATATGAAAAGTGTCTACAAAACAATATACATCTGGATACATGATACCACCTTGTTAAGCTTACGAACTTACAGGTATGCCAAAAACATATCAGAAGCAAGCAAGCAAGAAACCATTTTTAGATTCCCAGTTTGATTTCCTCTCAATCCCAATGTGCTAGGGAAACAGGACAAACTCATGCTACCTCCATGCAATCTTTTGCAGAATAATAGTAGGTGTTTCTAAGTCTCATTTCAATGGTTTTCAGATCCATAGGACGGCGAACCACTTTGTGGTAGTCCTAAATATGGCCATCAAAAACGCACTGTTATAAATTTTACCAACCGGTAAATTCAGCTTGACAGCGTCGACAGGAGTGACAAAAGGCCAAGCATGCTTATGTTTCATGACAGCTTTGAGAACTGTCTTCAACAAGTAATCCAACTGATTTGTGTGTCGAGTGGGCTTTCCGAAAGGAGGCACTACTCGAGGTTGTACAATACCATTTACTGGCTCCTGAAAATGACTTGTGAGCTGATATACGAAGAATTATGAGCAAACCTGTGAGGGAGACGCCCAAGAGTCCTCAGTTTTCGCTGAGCTTTCTGCCATAGCCATATCTTCGTAACAGACTTGAGTGACTGTGGTGTCCGAATTTGTTTGAACATTAGCACACATTACTGAACGCTAACAGTAATTTCTAAAACTTTAGAAATTACAATTTTACCCATTACTAGAACTTAAGTAATATTAAGTTGAACCGAAAGTTCTGTCGTTTCATTTTCAAAGATTTTTAACTTCGCGAGATTTCAACGGATTTGCTTGTGATTATATTAGAAAGATTAGGGTTTCCGCTTTCAATCGCTGTTTTGTGCAGCTTCTGTTTCACACTGAGTGCAGAGATAAAAATTGAAAACTAAGACCATGTAAACTTTGACCATTTTAGGTTAGGTTACCAAAAATCTGGAAAGCTGCAGAAAAATCTGAAATCGTCAGTTCATAGGTTTTTTGGCCTACTCTTTGCAATTGTGAAAAGTTTGTGCTATTTGGACGTCTTTGTGAGAAGTTATGATTTTCTCGAAAACTGACAAATTAATTAATTTTGGCGTTTTCCATAGTAAACTCGATATTCATAACTTCTCACAGAGACGTTCAAACAGCACAAACTCTTCACATTTGCAAAGAGTAGGCCAAAAAACTTATGTACTGACGATTTCAGATTTTTCTGCAGCATTCCAGATTTTTGGTGACCTAACTTAAAATGGTCAAAGTTTACATGGTCTTACTTTTCCATTTTTATCTCTGCACTCAGTGTGAAACAGAAGCCCCACAAAACAGCGATTGAAAGCGGAAGACCTAATCTTTCTAATATAATCACAAGCAAATCCGTTGAAATCTCGCGAAGTTACGAATTTCTGAAAATGAAACGACAGAACTTTCGGTTCAACCTAATATTTGGGCCCTCTAGCATCAGGGTTTGCTGGTATGAAGCCCTTCCGAGAACCACTAAAATTCTCACCCTTTGAATGTTCGGCAAAGATATTCCTACCTATGAAAGAAAAGTAATGTTTTCGACTATTTGACTAACAAGGGAGGCCTTTTAGCAAAGGACATATATTCTGAACCAGCTTCAAACGCTGATTCCAAATATGCTATTCCTAGCTGCCGCGCACTATTCCGAAGTGAATTATAATTTTTTTCTGTGCAAAATTGGCACACTCATCGACTCACTGGCATCACGGCATCATCATCTAATTGCTAAAATACTTGCGTTAAGCTTTTTTTGGTGAGAAAAGATCGGATTTGTGTTGTCTCGATATCTCAGCACCTTTCTCTTGCAGATATATTATCAGATTTATCTACAGGCAGTCTTCCCATGTTCAGTAGTACGGCCGATTTCGCGCAAAAAAAAGCCCATAACTCGCTTCGGAATGGTGCGCGACAGCTATTGAAGGTGATTCAGGATATGGTATGTACCTTCCTAAAACGCCAGGCTAACTTAGGTAGCTCCTAAGATGATTATGAGAATTTATTTTTACTACACCTCATAAAAACATAAAGATTGATTAGGGTTCATGTTAAGGTCATGCAACAACTTGCGGCACTTTCGCTTCAAATCTCAGAGCTATTGCAGTTTTTCTACTATACGTGCTTGATGGACATTAAATTGCAATGGATGTTCACACAGAGAAGAGCAGGACTAATTTTCAAATACTAGGTTAACTCGAAAGCTTGTGCCGTTTTTTGGACCTATCCTCAAATTATTCGGAATAAAAATAAAACAGCAACGGTATTCTGATCTTTTTAGCACTGTTCTTGTTCCGAGCCCTATGATGATCGCTTGGATCATCAAAATCTGACCAGGGCTCTGCACAGCTGCCAATCTCTACCGTGTGAAGGCTGGATATCATTTTTAGGAAAAAAGCAATGGGGACATCGTTTTTGTGACCGGAAACAAACATTGCGACGTTTTTCAGTCGACATTTCGTTTTTTGGATTTTTATACTTTTAGTGTTTAGGGTACAAGGGGACTTCGTACAAATGTTCAAGATCAAAGGGGACTTGGATTTGAAATTCTCCTGGTGTCAGCTCGTGCCGAGCCCTGTCTCTAACCCATGGTTTTCACTTGACCTAATTTCGGCTGAATCTCATAAATTTTCATTTCAAACTTTTGGAAGGTCTTTGGTAACAATTGAATAAAGTAAACAAAGCGCGACAATGCAACAAGTGCAAGCATTTTTTGAGCATCTTGAATTGGCCTTCTAGCACGAGTTCCTTATTCTCCGCCAACAGCCTAAAACACATTCTAAAACTAAAAATTATAACGATTTTCTTTACGCAGCCTTCAAAAATCGGAAAAGAGACACTCATTGGAAAGAAAAGAAGAAGCTGCACTTGTTGACCTCTTAAATGCCTCGCTATTTACTGGAGATTGGGAATGCCCGACTATGATATGTGGTAGCATCGAAGAAATTATTTGGACAATTTTGAAAGCCGTTGTATTAGGTTGTCCCAAAAGTCATGTCATATCTAAGTTTTCACCAGCATAAGTCTCTTTTCATAGATTTCTAATGAGATGCAAGGCACCATTCGAAAGACCAAAGCAAGCTTTACAACATGGCTTTCAAAAGTTTGTACCAGACTTGATCCGCATCGAGTTTCAAGATAAAAAGGAAAAGTTCAAAATCGCGAAAAAAGGTAAATAATCGTATTTCAGTTTAAAAACATTTTGCAAGGTTAACACTTGCTTACGCATATAACCTTCCCATCAGATATTTATATATACACTTGCTGCATTTTTCTGATGACTAGAAATCGAGAAGAAAATAAAGCGCTCAATTTTCAAACTTTGTCTGCAATGGGTCTAAGCTACTCGCAAATGTGCGATTATATACCTTAATCACTCAGCAAAACTCCCACGAATTTGCACCCTTGTAAAAGCCTTAGCTTTTGAGAAATATCAGTATGAAGGTAAAACTATGAAAAGACTTATGGCACACCCTAATAGAAGACAAAAAATTGCATATATTTAGTCTTTCCAATTGTTACTGAAGCCTTTATAAAATTCTGGAAAGAAAGCTTAGAAGACGAAGTCCGGGTTGGCAGAAACCACAAGTTAAAAATTTCGACGATTTTTCAGGTACTTGAGAAAAAACATCATTGCTAAAAGAAATGGCTGCATCGAAAACCGTTTAGAGCGTTCTTCTATCTTTATTTTGACTGACTTAAGATTAGGACTGAAACACGACACGAACATTTGGACCGATCTAATACAGGGTGTCCCAAAAGCAAGTACAAGCTTGATAGTCAATAATTCTCTTCCCGCAAAGTCTTTTTATTAGCTTAAAGTACCGTTTTTAATGGAGGAGGCTTCAACTTAGGTCTACAGCGTGGAGAAAATCACCCATCGCCCTTTATTACCGTAGGATCACGATAGGAACTTCCAGCATATAGCGTCATTGTGAAATAGGCCATTAGAACAAAAAGTCCCAAGAAAATCTGAAAGTCGCGCAGCATTGTTTTCAGACATGCCGACGAACATCGGACACTATTTTATGAGTTTAGAATTTAGTCCAATCACATTTTTGAAAAACACTAAAAATAACGACGTTAGCCAAAAACACTTCATTAGGCTATACATTTCAATTCATTCAGTTCCTGATCAGGAACTGAATGAATCAAAATGATCAGGAACTCAGTATAGCTTAATGAAGTGTTTTTGGCTCGTTATGTATCCATTCTAGGGCAACATGTAGCCACCGGCTACATATTGCCCTAGAATGGATACATAACGAGCCAAAAAGCCTAGATGGCTCAAACTCCCCTTCATGTTCCTACCGTAATCTTTGCCCCAAACGTAAGTCTAAGTTAAAGCCTCGTCTTTGAAAGATTTTGTAGCTAAGGAAAATTGCTGGGAAGGGAGTTATTAATGATCAAATCAAGAGAGCATGTACTTACTTTTGGGACATTGTGTCTGTGTGTTATGCATATTACATTTATATATGTCTATTATGTTATTATCTGAGATATTCAATTTTGCTCGGCCGCTATCAAGATAACATGACAAAACTCGCCATTCCGTCCCACACAAATTTTCCTTATCTATGTCCCACTTTTTGATGTCAAGCTCGCTGCTCTCTCCTCTTCATAATTAGCATGCTCACATAGCCCCCTCTTCATCAACTGCCAGCCCCGTAGGCTCATACTTTGCAAAAAACCAGTGAAATCGATATTGGTCGATGAGGAAAGCAGTCTATGACTGTGACACCTGCATCGCTCCGGAGGGTATTTGTGCAGTTTACGGATCGGTTCATAAATGATACCCAATCGTAGCTCACGCACACCAGACATACATACAGACATACACACATACACACATTCACTTTTATATATGAAATTGCATAGATCATACTTATATTCTTCTTAGCTACATTGCGATTCGACATGTATTCTGCAGTATTCCACAGAACCCGCTTGAGCTTCACATAATTAATCTGTTTTGTAATTCTGCCACGATTTTCAAGCGCCTGAGAAGAGTGGATGTCACACTGTTTCTCCTTTCTAACGTCAGACTCACTGGAATTCCACCTCCAATAAACCTTGACCTAAGCTTGTAGCAATTGTGTTTCTTTTGTAGGAAGCCTTGTCCTCAACTAGAAGTATTTGTGAGCTTGATTTCATCTTTATACAGAAGCTGATTGAGCCGTATGTGTTTCTCAACTGATATTGCTTCTTTCCTAATTCTCACTCACGGGAATATTTTTATACATTTTGCTAAGAGCCCACATTACTTCGGCATATTTTCCAAGCTCGCCAACTTCCTTTCGAATAAACTTCGATGTTAATTTAGCGCCACAATGCATGGCATATATGTGCCAGCCTCCAAGTATTATGTTTCGGAACCGATCGTTATTTATAGAATACACAAATTATCAGGAGGATTAAAGGTGCATTTTCACTCATTCACATTGCACTCATCGTTATCGCTTTGAAATCTCCGCATATCAATCATTACTCGCATAATTTTGGAAATGAGGTGAATATTATAAGCTGAGCTCATGCCGTTGCTGTATCAAATGTGTCATTTCAATGTTGCTTGGTTCTGGACAGAGATGTTCGTTGAGCTTACAATTGAAAAATATTAGGTTGTCCCATAAGTCTTTTCATATTCGTACCTT